CCCCCCCCCTACCAAGGGAAAAAAAACCCCCGCAAACGGGGGGGGGGGGGGCACCGCAGGCAGGACTAGGGGGAGGGGGAGGACCCGAGGGAGGGGGGGTAAACGCGGAGAGCCTGTTTCTGGGAAGGGTAAGGGGGGGTTGGACATGGATGGCGTTTTCGAGGAGGAGGGGGAGGGGGGGCACGCGGAGGAGGAGGGCGTGCTGGGCGGGGGGGGGGGGGGGATAGGCGCCGGGGCGACGGTTCTGGACAGCGTGTTGTGGAAGCTTGGGTTTGACAAGGTGGGTGGGAGTGCTGTGTGTTTTTTTTTGTGAGGATAAGCGTGGTCAGACGTGGTTGGTGTGAAGGGGAGACGGCAATGGGATGCGGGGGGTGGGGGGGGAGGATCTCACTGAAGGATGCTGTGCTGATAGGTGTGCGGGCGTTTGCTTGTGCCTGTTGGACGCTCTCAATTTTGAGGTCGGAAGACATGAAAAGATTGCCGTTGAATTTCATCTAAGTCTAGGCTGGTTCGGGTCATGCCAAGGACCAACCGGCGGAGTCGGGTATATTTTAGTGCAGTACTGGTATGTGTTGTTTACGCTTTCGCCGCCGGTGGTACGCACGCGACGCGGCCTCCTCGACTGCTGTTACACCGTCTGCTTCTGTGTCTAAAGCGTCGTTCCGAACCTTTTCGTCGTCGTCGTGATCCCTTCCACCATGTAGCGAGAGACACTGTTCAATGTTTTTATCTGGGAGCCTGTCGCTGGTCACCGTGGTCTGGAGCTGCCGTGCTCTTTCACGAGGTGTAGCTCCGCTTTGTGCTCGTGAGCGATTTTTCGCCGTCGATGCCTGGAAAAACGATCCGATACGACACATCCATCATGACGTTAAAATCTGGCACCCGATTGCTGTGGCTTGCTTCCTTCTTCACTTCCCCTATCGCCTCCTCTAACCTCGGGGTACCCCTGCGCCCGTACACACCTAAAAAATCTCGACAGTTCCATCGAGATTTCCGCAACCTGGCGTTGCTGGGGCTTGTCCAGGATAGGTTCCCCAAGAGCAAGCTGGCCTACCTGGTAGTGAAGGTGATGCTGGACAACTCCTCCCCTACGGAGAGAAAGGTCGACGAACAGGTGTCCGCATCCATCAGGTGCGGGAGAAGAAGTCGAATGCGCCCGAAGAATGTTCGTAGAATATTTAGAATATTTTGTGGTGATTCTTCTGTCAGCGAGGAAAACGAGTCAACTGCACCGAATGACGAAGAATGTTCGTAGAATATTTAGAGTATATTGTGGTGATTCTTCTGTCAGCGAGGAAAACGAGTCAACTGCACCGAATGACGAAGAATGTTCGTAGAATATTTAGAGTATTTTGTGGTGATTCTTCTGTCAGCGAGGAAAACGAGTCAACTGCACCGAATGACGAAGAATGTTCGTAGAATATTTAGAGTATTTTGTGGTGATTCTTCTGTCAGCGAGGAAAACGAGTCAACTGCACCGAATGACGAAGAATGTTCGTAGAATATTTAGAGTATTTTGTGGTGATTCTTCTGTCAGCGAGGAAAACGAGTCAAATGCACCGAATGTCATGCGTAGATTGATCTGGCGTTCTTTCATGTACCGTCTCATCTGTACCCTGTTTTGATGGTGATCTGGGCTGGTCTGTGCAATCCTGAACCTGAATCTGAATCTACATCCGACCCCCATGGTGTCTTAGCGCCAGGGACTAACATCTATTCTAACCTAACCCTGCTCCTGAATCTGTCTCTTGTACCATGGATCTCTCAGCGCCAGAGACCTGTTCGATTAACTCTGACCTATGTTATTCTGAACCTGAATCTGAACCTTATTCTGAACCTGAATCTGAACCTTATGCCATGGATCTCTCAGCGCCAGGGACCTGTTCGACAAGCTCTGCGAGGCCTGGCAAACGAACAACCTCACCAAGAACAAGGCGGTGCCGGACTGGCGGAGGTTCGTCTCCTGGATGTCAGCTCTATGCACCGACCTTACCTCCATGGTGTCTAAGGTGTGTTGTGCGGAAGGACCCTCGCCCTTGGGCAAGCAGCAGTGCTTGCTTGCTGCAGCTCGGTCCTTGATCGCTGACCCCAATCGTGCGCGGTTTTAGGTGATTCGCCAATTTGGCCGCAGAATCTCTCGTGCCGCCACTGATTCGCGAATACTACACTCCGGACGGTGCGTCTCTGAACGACGAAGTAATTTCATTGTACCTAACCTATGGTATGTTTGGCCGCGCTGTCGTTGCACCTAACGGCTTCAACTTTTATTTATTTTCCGCAGATACCGGGATCGGATACGCAGAACCCTCGTTACGTGGTGAACATGGCCAAGATGGTGCAGTACATCCGGGGTAACCTGGTGAAGTGCACCGCCAGGGACCGTTACGGAAAGGAGACCGCCAGGATCATGGAGGTAGGAAGAAAATTACCCTCGCTGTTCGGCTGCTGCACATTTATGTTGTGTTGCGCTTTGTGTGTCTTTTCGTGTAGAGGCCAAGAGGACTGTTGCCGGTATCTTCCTGGTCTCTCTAAGTAGGCAGTTCTTGCTCTACCGCTCTATCGTCGGCAATGATAGAAGATCGCCCTGTCTTGTCCTTGCTCGCCGAAGCCGTTGGCTGCACCTTTTCACGTGCTGCGCTTGGGTGTTGTCCATGTCCAGTTCCACTAGTGTACATGTCCAGCGGACAATCACTCGGTATTTTGAAGGTACGATCGATGTATGCACAGCATGTCTCGAGGGCTTTCTGGGCTGTGCTTTAGTTGAAGGTGTGCTTGTAGGAGCAGTGGCCCTGTCCAGCGGACTGCCACTCAGTTGGTATTTTTGAAGGTACGATTCGATGTATGCATAGCATTTCTCGAGGGCATTCCGGGCTGTGCTTTAGTTGAAGGTGTGCTTGTAGGAGCAGTGGCCCTGTCCAGCGGACTGCCACTCAGTTGGTATTTTTGAAGGTACGATTCGATGTATGCATAGCATTTCTCGAGGGCATGCCGGGCTGTGCTTTTAGTTGAAGGTGTGCTTGTAGGAGCAGTAGCCCGACACCCGTGTTTCTCCTCACCATCATGCCAAGAAAAATTGTGCTGATGTACCTCATCAGGGCTTCGGACGGTGCTCCTTGCTCTACTGTACGTCTGCTGTAGAGGAGGTGGCACCTACGCAGGATTTTAAGAGTATCTAGAAATAGAATGGGGAGGGGGCACGCAGACCCTATCCCTAACCCTAACGGTGCGCTTCGTTCGCAGAGCGGCACAAGAGAAGAAATCGCGGCGCCCCCGAAAGTTGGATGACATTGAAAAAAAAAACCGCCCAACTCCCTTTCACGCCGGTGGCGAAATAAGGCCGGAAACAAACACAGAACAACGCGCCTTACGCGCACCTTGCGCGCGATACCCCTAACCCTAAAGCACGGATCGAATACTTTATCCCATATGTTTGCTCAATCAATTTTGCTGCGTAGACTACTGACTGGCTGGTTTGGTCTTTGCTTCAAAGTGCTCACAGTTCGGATCAACTTTTGAGGGTGCTTGGTTGAACCATGCACTCTATGCATGATGTAGACCCGTCACTATCGTTTTTGCTGCTACCGCCGCCCTTGTGCCGTTGGTCACTTTGAGGTGAGCACCGGCATGTGCATCCTATGCTTGGTTGCCTCGAAGATGCGTGGATTAAAGTCAAAGGGTTTGTGGTTATCAAGTAAAACGCAAGTCGATCTCGATGTCCTGGGTGCTGCCCACAGATTGGCATGCACTTGCGTCTTGCTGAACTAGCCGAGAAAGATCCATGCACCACAACTTGCTGAGTCGTTGATTGATTGCTAAATAACGAGTTGTTGGGTTTACTGTACTAACTTTCTGGTCCCTCTCGTGAACTGCCCCAAAACAACAATCCCGGTTCTTGCCCAGATTCTTCTCCAAAACAAGTACCTGGACCAGCAGCAGGTGGGCGAGATGGCGATGATACCCCCCAGCGATGCGAGGGAGAGACTGTACCGCCTAGTGAGAGACAGGTGCGAAGCATATCCGCTGCCCTTGATATGTGGAACGATTAATACGCGGGATTACCCGCGTGAAGCTCGCAGCATGTTTTCTCCAGGATGAAAGGCTGATTTCCGTAAGACGTGTGCTGGAACGCACGCATGGATGTTTCAAGGTTAAGGCAAACTGCTCCATAAGGAAAGGAGAGGTTTTCGAAAATTAACGATCGGCAATTGCAAGGAAGACCACCCTTCTGTTGTATCATGCCAGGCGTTGGTTGTGGAACAATCGAGCTTGTAAAGCCGATTGATCGATCGATCGATGGTGGCACACCCGTGCGTCCGGCAGCATTGCGGTATTGCGGTACGAGGGTGAGATGACTCGGCGCAGGCTCTGACAGGCCAACGTTGTGTGCTCGACGTAAGCCTATCGCCGTCGCTCTGTGCACGAAACTCAGACTTTCACGTGTAGCGAAACGTTCCCCTCCATTGCCCTCAATTACCAGTAGATAACGCTGCCGATGTTTTTTAGTTTAACATCTTGGCGGTGTCCTCTGCTCTCTCCGCTTGCTGCATGCATTACCTGCACATTTGTGTGGCACTTCTGCCGACATATTAGGATGGTGTCGGTTCAGGAGGTACCGAAGCGGGCGGATCGCAACCCCAACACGACCTTCTACCTGTGGACCATCAAGCACGACCAGGTTAGAGCTGGAGTGATGATGCCGCCACCATATATTTTCTCGGGTCATTGCTCTCATCCCCGGTGCATTTTCCCTCGTCTCCTATCGTGCCATGATGAAGCAGAAACATCCCACAAAGCATGACTTGTGCAGGTTTAGTGCCTGTCGCTCTATGTGTACTGTAGGGTGTAGAGATACGGCTACACGACGTTACGGTAGCATTGGGCCTCGGTGCGTTCCGTTTCGCGTGAGGGGTCCGCTGTTGTTCAACAACACCGCCGTTGAAATAGCAGGCTCGGGAAACGGCGAGTTTGGCATGGCACGGCTAGTCTTTCTGCCCAAATACTTGGAAGTATGTAACGGGTTGTAAACGGCACAAGCGCTGTGAGCGCTGATTTGAAGTGAAGACAATAAAGAAAAAAATATGTACTTTGTGCTCCATGGGAAGCGTGGAGAAAAATGTACCAATCAAGTGAAGTACTTACCTGATATAGAGTACCATGGCAGTGGCATTGCCGGTATTGCTACACGTTTCTCGGGCGATGTCATGGCTCGCGTTTCCCCTTGTGGTCTTGTCCGCGATGATTTTTTTTTTTCTCTCTCTTTCGCGGGCTCTCTTTTACCTACATAGCGTGGATGCGCTGCCCCTTGTGAATCATTGCATCATTTTGTTTTCGCGCCGCTCTCGCTGTCCTATTCATTAACCTTGCCTCCATCGATGCTCAACTTAACTGTGGCTTTTCGCAAGGCGAGAAGAACGTAGCGGTGTGTTCCCATGTGTGCGTACTCGTGCGTCCCGACGTTGGGGTTGATGGGTTTGACGCAGCTTTGATGGGGTTGACGCAACTGTGATGGGGTTGACGCAACGCAGGTCGCTCAGGTGGTGCTGGAAAGCTTGTACAAGGCCATGCTCAACATGCGGCTCCGAAGGAAGTTCGTCTACTCCAACGACAAGGCATGCCGTTCTTGTCTCGACTTTGATGTTTATGCAGTACTTCGAAGTTTGGGTGAAAAACTGAATCTATTCATCACACGCATGCACGGTTCGTTGGTTGTGGCCTGCTCGAGTTTGATGTTTATATTTCGAATTTAGGTCAGTAACCCAGTTCTATGATTTTCACGCATGCAAAAGGTTGGTTGGTTATTGACTACCTGCAGTCGGCGCGTTTCTAGTTCGTTGCAGACGCGGTGGTATGTCTCTACCGCTTGCACCCACGGGACTCAGACACATGCGATTGGGCGATATGCCTGCCAAGGTGGTATCTGGTGTACCACGTGAAAACCGCATTACAGCTTTTACGGAACGCGTCCCATTTCGTGCACCTAACGCGCTTGACTACCTTCAGCTGTCACCATGCTCGGCAACGCGTACCCATCAATGCCTGGATGGGCGCACCCCTTTGTGTCGAATTTTGTCGTCCTTAAAACCTCGTGCCCTTGCCGGCGTGGTCCACAGGCGCTCTTCATCCACGATGCCGCTGCCCGTCTTTCCAACGACGCCGAGAGGGAGAGGCTGGACCAGGTTCGCCGTTCGCTTGACAGGCTGGACACGGCTCTCTTGCGATTGGACGAAAACCTCATGTTCTTCAACACCTTCTAGTCTGTGATGCGCTTGGACCCGTGGGCGCGTAGCGTACCTCGCTTGGTAACAGGCAGTAGTGCCGCTACCTTTGAGGGCGTGTGGCTTGCGTCCGCTGTGTTGTGTGGAACCTTGCTTTCGGTAGGCATCTTTGCGAATGAACCGGAGTTGTGCGCGATGATAGTAGTGGTGGTCGGTCGGGGTGCTGTTGTCTGCCTCGCGGTCTTCGATCACCACAAGATAGGGGCAAGGGTCGGAGATGGAGAGGGGTGGTTGCCGTTGTTCCTGGCGCCGAAGTCTTGTCCCGGAGCCCTTGGTCAGCCCTCGGTTCGATTTTTATGGAAGCCACACGGGTAGGGCAGAGGTGTGCAGGGGTGTTGGTAGACATTTGCATGGTATTGTTTGACCGAACGCCTGATTGTTTTGTGGGCGGTGTGCCCCATGACATGGTACGGTTGCCCCACTCCAATCTGGTGTGAAATAATGGTTGTTGCGCGGTTTCCCGCAACGAATGCGCTGCGGGCTCTGTGGATTTGGACCTTGCGAAAATGGAACCCTTTGACTATTACAGCGCTTGCAGATGTTGCGCGTGGGATCGACGGGCTTATGTTTCTTCCAACACTCCCCTCCTTAGGCACCACAACAAGTAATTGAGCGCGTTAGCCGCCAATTCTCGGGTGTTGCCATGCGGACTGGGGCATACATGCTGCCTCCAGTGTGCTACACCGTTTGCCGGGATTGACTACTGCTGGGTGTGCGCGTGTGCGTGAGCTTCAATTGCTTTTGATCGGCCGCGCTATAGGACTGTCTAGTGACAGGACGTCAGCCATTGTTGCTGCTCAAACCCCAGGAATGGGCTGGCTTTTTCGAATTCTGAGAAGGTCAGAATGAATGCCCAACGCAGTGAACCTCTCTGCAGCAAGCCCTTTGAGAGAAACGCACCAACGCTAAGCTTACAACACAACAGCAATCCCTTTGCCAACCCAAAGCAGCTAGCTGTGATGATGCAAAGAGGGGAGGGCAACGAGGATTGCTCACCAAAAGCAACCAAGATTCGCGCTTGGAAAAACAAGCACCTCGCGGTCACCCTCGCGTTCAACAAACATTTCACACACGACCCAAGAAAAAATCCGTTGTCAGCGGGTGGTCCTCCGATAGCTATCAGACGTTCCTTGCAAGGCGAGCAAACATACCTACATACATACATGTCGTACGCCAAACCACCCGTCGTTTGCACACCATCCACACTGAGCTGGCGTCATCTCTAGCCTATGTGGTCCACACTGACTGCTGTTTCGACTTGGCAGAGAGTGAGTTATTTCTGTCTCGTCGTAAACAAAAGTATTTATTTTTTTAGTGGTGCAACTTCTCACGAAGCAGCAGCGCTGGGTTCTTCTACCTATGCATAGCGAGAATCAAAATCAATTGCTTGATGGTACCGATTTGCTCCCTTTCATCGCCCGGCCCTTGCTGTTGGCGAGATGGGAAAACAAGAAAACACTCCGAGTGTGGTGGGAGAAGGTGGAAGTCAAAGGAGGAAAAAAAGCACCGAAGGAGGGGCTCGAACCCTCGACCACAAGATTAAGAGTCTTGCGCTCTACCGACTGAGCTACTCCGGCTGGCTTGTAAGGTGGATAATTTAAGCCTTCATGAACCAGTCATTTCAAGTATTCTCTTGGTTTGGCCCGTGCCGCCTCCAGCCATGCATACATGTCGCGGTTGCTTTCGTTGTGTATCGAATACATACGCACAACGCACGCAGAGATGACCCTACCTTCTGACTGAGTTCGCCTCTTGTTGGTTGAACTTTCTTGAAGAGATTGGAAGAGGCGCGGTTATTTGCTGTGTGTATAAGCGGCTTGTCCTGACTGAAGCGCTGAACGTGAACTGGAACGGATGTTATTACAGCAGTGACAACGACGGTAGGAGACGCAACAGCCTCGATGCTGCGATAGTCTCTTTGCCGGAACGAACCCCCTAGCAGCAGTATAGCAGTGTTCTTCGCGTGAGAGCTCTCGCCGTCGTCATGAGTTTGAGTTTTCAAAATTAAACAGCGGGCGAGACTGTCATCGAAAATAGACCAATCAACGACGTTGGGCGGTTCTTCGTTCGTCAGATAGACAGCGCAGCGGTCGCGTCTACAAAATCGGAATTCAGATCGCACCCCACACCCCACACCCAAACCATGTCGACACGCTTGCTGCACCGAAGTTGGACATAGCTCACAGCATCGGCAGGTTCATACCCAGGTTAGTGGTTTCGTCGTCACGGGTCGCGGAGTTATGATCAAGTCGCTTAGACGGCCGGTAAATCGTACTTGCCGCCCTCTCGCTTGAAAGTTCAACTACTGCTGAATCGCGTCGTAGCAAGTTCAAAGTCAATCCGACTCTGCTTTGGCGTTACCAGATGCACATCAAGGGCAACAAAGGGGTCAAAGCAGCAAGAGAGGACCAAAGGCGTTCGTAGCTGAAGAGCTGTGTGGGCGTTTTTCCTCTACTGTAAGAACTTCGGTGTTTACATGGGAGTGACAGCGAACTGACTCTGTTGGCATTTAGTGCAGCCTTTGCCGTACTCTTCAAACTGCTGCTTGCTGGGCATGATACGCATAACCGTACCCATGGCTGCAGCTAGACATAGAGCACGGGAGTTTCGTATTTCTTCTGTTCAAAATCCCTCTTCTGTAAGCAGGCAATCAAGGCAGCACACCCGTTCAATGACATTTCTTGCTGCTTCTAGCGCGCCTCGTCAGTGGGATTTTTCGTGTAAAAAGCGCGGTTGGATCGGCTACAGCTGTAACGCCGACGAATACCAGGGTGTCCTGGTACAGCTGTGTGAACCTTTTGGACGCAGTTTCCGCTGGTGTCTTCTCTGCAATGCTATGCATACAGCGATGAAAAAGCTGCATGGTGACGCACTCCTCTTGAAGATTGAAGGAAGAATCCCGTGGCGAGCTAAGAGCGCTCCAGATCGTCTGGAAAATACACATCTGCTGTAGTTCATGACGTGGTCACTATTTACCTGCCACTTACAAGTACAGGTGTGGCATCCTGTCCCTCTTGTTGAGTCAATGCAGCTATTGCGTCAGCAGTAGATTAGGTGCCGCAGTCAGTATTACCCCGCCATCAGGGATAGATCTAGCACCAGAACGCACCCCAACCTCCAATCTATACACACACGCTGATGAACTGCTTCTTCACGAGGCGTGTACCAGCTACCAGTCAAGAGGTGCGCACCTATTCTTTCCAGCCTCCGCGCAGTCTGGCAGCCATTCTGGCAGCCATGCTGAGCCAAGCAAGTCCTCCTGCTGCTGTACCGTACACTTATTCTAATGGGAAACACACATTATTTGCTAGCAGCAGTGTTGCTAAAATAGGGCGATGTGTGATGTGTACGAGGCGGTTCTTGAGAGAACCGCACCCCTTAACACCCCGAATCCACCCTGCTGGCATATTCCAAATCCCAAGCTCGGGAATGGGTAAACACGACGTGTTGGTTGATGAAGAAATCGACTACGAAAGCATGCGAGGGGATTAGCTTGGGGGTATGCACATACCTGGTACCTCATGGTGTGCGCGGAGCAAGGATGGTGAATGAGAGTCAGGAGACATGTGAAGGATTCACCAAAAAGTACGGGGAATTCGGGCAGGCAGATACCGAAGGAAGAACATTCACGTGTAGTAGATTTACATTGTACCTCCGCCGACGTTGTTTGGCAATGAGCGAACGGCACCTAGAGAAAAAGCAACCAGAGCACAAGATGACCACCAGACTGCTACCATATGTTGCTCTACTACCCACCGGGCAGCATGGATACCACTATATACTACACATGTATGTTGCCTGAGGAATAATACAGTACAGTAGTTGAACCACGGGAAGGTTTCTGCGCCAACGAAAGGTGGACTTTTGTCTGTGAATAGGTAACTACCAGTACTAGTTTCTTTCGTTTCTGTAAGGATGGTGGTAGAAGAAACAAAAAACTCCTACAACAGGTGCGGTTAAAATTCAAACCCCAACTCACACACACCTACTCGAAAATCCAGGGAGAATCCCTTGCGAGTGCATGATGTCCGAGGTGAATGTAAGCATGCGGCCAACGGCCAAACACCACGTCCGTCTGTCTGTCTGTCTATCTGTCTTTGGTGAGCGTGCCCGGGATTGATTCTATTGACGAAGCGACCAACACCAGCATCATCTCGCGACCTTGACTCTCAACAACAACAATATCACCAGCCAAGACCTGAATGGGATTTCGAAAATTTCGGATCGCCCGCGCAAGAGAATGGCCAACATTTCCCACAGGCCTCGGCGGGACTGTTGTCTACGAAGCTTAGTCTAGACCTGTTCCATCTTGGGGAGAGCTCGGCTTCGGATGAGGAAGATGTTTCAGACGTACACGGCATGATGGCCATGGAGTATAGTGTGTACACGTGTCCAGAGGGGTGCGGATGCGGTGAAATAGTTGGTTACAGGCTACGAGGCTCTCGTGCTGTAGCTTCCTCCCCTGAGCCTCAAACATCGAACTCCCCCCGGCCGCGTCCGATCACCCCTACCCGCTCACGAGCAGGGAACATGGAGAAGCAGCTGTTTGCGGCGGTGGACATAGTGTCAACGGTCGGGGAGTTCGTGGACGACAATCAGTACCTCTTCTTTGCCTCGGTTTCCCGAGGATGGAGGGATGTCTGGGGCAAGCGTCCGACGGTTACAAAGGCCCTGACGGCCGACACGTCGGTGTCGCAGCTCTCCCTCAGCTTCGAGTGCGGCCTGAGGCGGACAGCCGCGGTCTGCGAAACCGTCGCGGGGCTCGGCAGACTGGATCTCCTGCGGAGGGCGAGGGCCATGGGGTGCCCGTGGAACGAGAACACGTGCTACGTTGCTGCGAAGGCGGGACACCTCCATGTCCTCGTTTGGGCCCGCCAGAACGGGTGCCGTTGGGGGCGCAACACTGCCATGGGCGCGGCGCGCACTTCCGTCGAGGCTGCGGAAGGAGGCCATGTTCACGTGCTCCAGTGGCTGAGGGGCAATGGCTGCGCTCTGGGCCCGAGCACCTGTGCCGGGGCTGCAAGGTTCGGTTCAAGCGAGAAAAATGAACAGTAGTTGTACGATTGTATTGGGTTCAAAGGGAGTGTCGAATACGAAAAGACTTTCGGAACGCGTTTGGAGGAACTTGACAAGCGCTTAAAAGTGCGTTGGTGTGTACATCACTGTGTATCTCGCGGTTGGAGCTGCCAAGCCTCGAAACAACAGGTCATACAGTACGCGCCGCCCTTAAGAACCTGAGAGTTGAGAAATTCGGGATCAAAAACAGAACGATAAAACACATTGACCATAGTAAAACCTATATAATAGTCGGTGTTGGGGTCATCCCACAGGAAAACAAGAAACACGCCTCGGCGGGCAAAACACGAATTTCTTAACTTATTATGTGGGTGACGCAAAACACGATGTGGTCGTCTGGCGTACGTATCCGAAGTGGGATATCTCAACCGGCGAACATCCTTTGCCTTAGGGAACTCATCCGCCGAAACATGGAGGTGAATGCGGCTGGACGAGGTTGCCAAGTCCGCAACAACCTTAGCAAAACAACGTGCTCTCAAAATCTTGCACACGCACATGAACGCCCTTGCTGGGGTGTCGTGAACGTTAAGAACGAAGCCCCGTACTTACTTTTGTGGGGCACGCTTGGTCTGCTGATGAAGCACTGCTGTTCATCGCCAAGCATATCATATGCTGTGTAGCCTGCCGCCGATAGGGATACCTTGTACTGGGCGACCTCATCTCTGTGTTGCGTCTGAACAACAGCTCTTTGGTTTGCGAGCACCGTTGGGGAGCATCATTCCCCCACGTGAAGACGGGTCTTGGACCAAAACCAGTGGCATACGTGACGTGTGTTTCGATCGAGAACTTTGAACTTTTGCTGACGGAATATCTGGATGTTAGCCAAAACAAACCTCACGGCGTTCCCGTACCGCAGATGCATTGCCAGGCATCGTTTGACAGACCCGTATCCGTTAAACATTGCTCAAGATTCATGCGTACAGTAGTGGAGACAAAGCAGTGGAGGTATGGCGGTGATCCATGTTGGGTTCAAACTACTGTTACCCCGAGAGCTTCTTAGGCAGGAAAGGAGTTATCGGACATCGGTATTAGACTTCCTTGTTGGAAGCTGCTCGCCGCATGTACAATACGACACTCAAAGTCACACCCAACCATGTATCGTTGTATTCATTCATCACATAAAGTTTGCCTGTTCCGTGTTTCTTCGCTGAACGAATCTTCTCTCTCGCATACTTTCCCCGTAGATCGCGGTTTTCTTTCCTTCTGAATGGATCCACAACAGTATGCAGCAGCTCTAACAGCACGTGACTTCAAACATGAGCGGATAATGTCCACCACCTCGTTGCAACATGTGGACCTACAATAGTGGTGTAAATCTCTTCTAGATGTGAGCCAATCTACGCGTAGAGAAGTACATAGTGAATTGATCTGTTCGGCCCGTGGAGACATCAGGCACCCACACTCTTCCATTATTCTGGTGGTTGGACAGTTTTTTTTTTTTTTTCATTTTTTGCTGCCTTTGTTTGCTTGGTAAGAATATTTGGCATACAGATAACAGCCCGATATAGTGGCAACTTGAACAGCAGAACTGCCGATTCTAGTGGCATGAAAATCTCAACATGTACATGAACCCCGATGTATCGTATTGTTTTTTTTTTTGTTTTTTTTTAGTGACACTGCCCTGAATAGTGCCATGTTCTCCTCTTGCCCCTACATGCCACTATATCGGGCTGCTTACGGTGTCTGTGTTGTATTTTTTTGTTCAGAGGCGGCCATCTTCGTGCCCTTCAATGGCTTCGAGAAAAGAGGTGCGACTGGAACTCCGACACCTGCATGGCAGCCGCTTCCGGAGGTCATTTGGGAGTTCTTCAATGGGCGAGGCTAAACGGATGCGTTTGGGACACGTCCACTTGCTGGGCAGCCGCGCAGCAAGGGCACCTGGAGGTAAAAACGTCGTAGTTCTCAACATCCCCCACGCCACCGTGTCGAAAAATGTAGGAAGTCTCTATTAACACTGAGGGCGTTTGGCGAAAGCGGAAATCTGTCTTGCCGACCACCCCCACCCCATTCTTATCCGATTGATCCACGGAGCCACCACTCATTCGTCATCACTCCCCTCCTCACGGAGAACACAGGGGGAGCTCAGACTCAGAGTTAGGCAATCAGTCAATCAGCGAGTCACCAACCCCGTCTCGAGGCGAATGGTCGGCACAGAACCCTCACGAGGTAATGAGGAAGCTTGTCTCTGGCGAGTTGGTGTGCGGAGCAAGAATGGTGGATGAGAGTCAGGAGACTTTTGAAGGATTCACCAAAAGCGGGGGGAATTCGGGCAGGCAGATACCGAAGGAAGCACATTCACGTCTCTTGCGGGGTCCTGCACAGTCGCATTCAAGACTTGTCGTAATCACGTACACGTGGAATGAGTTGGAGAACGCAACGTTTGTTGGACCAATTGGAAGCAATGCAAATGACAGCCACTATGACACCTAATCTGTTCATGTGAGGCGAGCTGCCCAATTTCAAGATTCAAGAGCAGGAGTGCCTTAGTAAACAAGACACGACCAAGGGATAGTCGGGGGGGGGGGGTCGTTGAGACTTCATCGAGCAGTACAAGAGCCATACGGCCGCGCAAAGGCAAAGTCAAGATAATCGGAGGCATCCGACGCTCCCTGCAACTATCGACAACGGCAAACAGAAAAAGTACGAGTTGCACGCTTTCGCAAGAAATCCGGGTATTCGTGCACGCCCGATTGACCTCTTACTCAAGGCAACCTGCTTGTATATGCTCGCGTGTCGTTATCCCCCCATTTCCTGAGCAGGCCGCGGTATAGGATAACTCACCAAGGTCGCTGTGACGATCCCATCCCTCAAATTGTGCCCCCATCACTTTCGACCTGCGCGAACCCAATGTATGTACGTACGTTCGTCAACTTACAATAATGTGCCGTGTAGGTGCTTCGCTGGGCCAGGGCTAACGGGTGTGGATGGGGTCCTTCCACCTGCTGGGGAGCCGCGAAGGAGGGTCACCTAGGTTAGTTTTAGTGTTAGTTTCCCATCGAGCGGGAAAAGCGACCACAACTCCTCCTGTTTGGGTTACCGGCCCTAAGTACTCTTATCCCTAAGTGGGGGGCTTCGTCTAGGAAGGTGAAGATCTGTCTGTCTGTCTGTCTGTCTGTCTGTCTGTCTGCCTGTCTGTCTGTCTGTCTGTCTCTGTCTGTCTGTGTGTGTCTCTCTCTCTCTCTGTCTGTCTGTCTGTCTGTCTGTCTGTCTGTCTGTCTGTCTGTCTGTCTCTGCCTCTCTCTCTCTCTCTCTCTCTCTCTCTCTCTCTCTCTCTCTGTCTCTGTCTCTCTGTCTGTCTCTGTCTCTCTGTCTCTCTCTCTCTCTCTCTCTGTTTCTCTGTCTCTCTGTCTCTCTGTCTCTCGTATGAACCGCCCGGTAAGGTGGTTGGAGAAACTTGTTTGTGCTTTATTTTGGAGTGGTTGTGACCTGCTCCGTCACAGCTTATGGCCAAATCTCGAGGTCAGAACCGCAACAATAACCAAATCTCGAGGTCAGAAACGCAACAATAACCAAGAAGCTGCGGACAGCCCATAGAACACTACTGTGCACGAGTGGTTTGTTTGGATGCGCCGCCGCACACACGACTCTGGAGCTGATGTCTTCGAAACTCAAGCCCTTGGAAGGATGAGAGCTGCCTCTGCCCGAACTGCTCGGATGCATATGGTGCAGCAAGGGATTTTGAATCTGATTCTCTCGGAGTTTGGCGAGGGGGCTTGTTGCCGTGATTGTCATTCTTACGCAATACCAAACAGTCTGTTAGGTCGATCGGCCTCATCCAGTGACAGAAAACACAAAACTGCGCTCCTCCTTTTATGGGGGTTTCCGTGTGCCGATGTCGCTGTTGCTGCTGATGGTGTACACTGTACTGTAGGTATCCTCCAGTGGGCGAGATCGAACGGCTGCGTGTGGACATCGGGCACGTGCTGGGGGGCTGCGAGGGGAGGCCATTTGCACGTCCTTCAGTGGGCCCGCGCTCAAGGCTGTGCTTGGAACGCTACAACCTGCTGCGGCGCTGCCAAAGAGGGCCATCTTCATGTCCTGATATGGGCGAGGCAGAATGGTTGCCCGTGGGATTTCAGGACCATCACGTACGCCGAAAAGGGTGGTCACGACCATGTGGTTAGGTGGGCGAGGGCGCACGGACTGTGACCCCCCCCCCACCCCCCGTGGCAATGCTCGAGAGCAACCGAAAATGATTTCCATTTTCTCAGGACTCGGGGGTTAAATCACAAAAATCATCACCGCGTGGTTGGGTGGACCCGGGCGCCTGGGCGATAACTTCCTCCCTCGTGGTCTTGTTCGAGACTACCCCAACGATTATGGAATGTAACAGTTTTTTTCAGGGTTCCACAGATCAACGAACAACCCAGACGTACGTGCGTTTGTGGACGATATTTGGGATTGTGTATGCAAGGGTTCAATCTATATAGGAGTCCAGCTGTGAACAGACTGTTTTTTAGGTGCTAGAAATGGGCTGCGTGTGTCGTTATTATAGGAGATCCAGTGGGGGGGGGTACCAGGACGTTTGTTCTGTCATTATTCAGCTTGTAGATATTGTCGTTTTCGTGCCGAGTGAAGTTTGGCTGCAATGTACTTATTTGAACACGCTGGCCTGTATATATGGAAGAAGTTATTGTTGACAGTTGTCGTTGAATTTATTCGAGTTCGGATTGAGGCTACACTAAAGCGTTTCGCTCGTGCACGTCGGCAATGCTTGGTCAAATAAGCCCCTGTTTCTGGGCGCCCCCCCTGCGGGAAGTATCCGGGGCATATCTTGTATATACAAAGTACGTATCGCAATCGTGTCTGTCTTTCTTTTTGCTTCGCTAGTGGACACCTGCTATAATTGTATACGCGATTGATTGGCGTTGGTCGGGTGTGCCCTACAGTATCTCATGCCTATCCCGCCGTTTGTGAGGCGGTGGTAGTCTCCGTTTTTTTATGCTACAGGCTTCATGATTTTCCTTGGGCTATGTGTGCCGTGTGGAGTTCATGACAGGCCCCAACCTCTCGTGACAGGGGGGGGGGGGGGGGAGGTAGGAAAGACACCGGAGGTAGCTGCTTGCATGCTAAGGTTGCTCGCAGGTTCGGTGCTGCTGCTGTTAAAAAAATTGTGCGTGAAGCCCGCCCCGATGGTAAATCTCCGACATAGAAGTCTGGCAGGCTCATTGCAGTTTTGCACGCTGGCCCTCTCCTATGATATCTTTTTGTGAGAACGTAAAACGAGGCGTTGTGTGGTGCGTAGCGTTCGAGCTGTTGCTAGTGTAGACGAGAGTGTGACTGGTGTGGGTCGGTGTTTTGGGTTCAAAGATTAGTGTCGCGGGGCGTACGTACTTACTTTGTGGATTGGATTTTTGTCTTTTTTCCCAATCCCCGACACCGACCGGTGAATTGTAGAGTACTAAGAAAGGTCGCCCACCAATCCCCAACACCGACCGGTGAATTTTAAAGAACTAAGAAAGGTCATCGACCAACAATTGACCCTCACGGACAAACGTTGGAGTCGATCAAAAGTAGCATTCGCTTGCGATCCATCGTTTACTACTATTTGGTCGCTTGTTTAGTCCGCTTGTACTGTCCCGCTTAGCTTTTTTGTTGGCAATGAAAGCAAGAAATCATGAACGTTGTTCGTCAACAGACTGCTTGCATGTAGTCTTGCAACGTTCCAAAACAACGTCAGCCAATATAATTAACCCCCAAAGACGCTCTTCGAGGGAATTGATGGACGTGTTCAACCACAACCAATGCCATTTCTATTGGCTTGCGGACCCTTCGGTTCCATTTTATTTTCGTATACCTTTTTTGGGTAAGTTAGCCTGTGACCACGGGAATCGACCCCGTCAAGTGTCAGACTAGTACGAACAGAAGAAAGTACTGGGCAGGGAGAACGGAACGGTTATTAATGTGAAGACAACAACAACAACAACAACAAACAACAACAACAACAACAACGTACTATATAGTACTTCGGAAGTAGTAGTATTTTGGGTGCGTTGTCGTGCCACAAAACCTACATAGAAATATATTGGCATTGACCTCTCCAGCAACCCAATACCAGCACTCTTCCGTTGGTTGAAAAAGAGAATCGACGTACATACTGTACCATTCGACTACAAGGAGCTTTTGCTCTCCTCCTTTTTGCATCCACGCACAGCACATCACATCTGCCTGCCGCGCATGTTCGTATTGTTACGAGAAATGAATCGACAACATACATACGTACACTACCACGACTTTGCACAACTTTACCCGCAGCGTCATTGGTCCAACTTGTTGGGGGGTTACATTCACGGCATGTATTTATCCCCCCATCCAATAATGATGGTATTGATAGGATTGAGGCATCGTCTTGGGGCAAGCGGAAAAAAAGTATTTTCTTCAAAAACTGAGATTCCGTACAGAGCTCAGCGAACCGGAGTAGCTCAGTCGGTAGAGCGCAAGACTTTTAATCTTGTGGTCGAGGGTTCGAGCCCCTCCTTCGGTGTAACCTTCTTTTTTGGTAACATTTTTTTTTCACAGGGAGGCAGCTCAGACAGTCGTAAGCAGTTTGAAAATCGCATCATATTACGCATATATATGAACGCGTGTCCCACGGCGATAGGTGGCACCACATAGGTCCAAGGCGGGTGATGCGTATATGTGACCTCCTTCCCACTTTTTTTGCGGGCCAACACCCCGTAGACACTCAAACACCCCTCGAACCAGATTGTTCCTGGATCCCAGAACCGAGGATCATATCCTTTGAAACGGCGAGAAAAAGAGCAAACGACGGATCGCGATCGATATCGTCTTGTTCCAAGGAGCGACACTCATACTACCTGGCCATGGACTCCATCACGGGAGAGTTTTCAGACGAAAGCTCGTCACGAGCTTCCTCTGCTAGTAGGAGAGGGACTACGCGCGAGCTGGCTCTATGTAGTACGGCCACGACCAGGAGGTGAGGACCATGCTTGCTTCTCGTCCTGTTTTTTTGTTACATCGGGCCGAGCCGTTAGGAACCATCCATCCATGTGTGAATCCTACACATCTACGTACGCACGTTGTTGCGCCACGTGAGTGGCCGTTGAGAGCAGACTCTGGAGGTGTGTCTAGTATGTACGATTGTGCGGATTGTGAGATCCGTAGTGTTTGTTGCGGGTGTGCTGTTTACTCGGGAGAGAGAAAGAGAGAAACACAAACAGCAGCAAGCAGCAAGCAGCAGGAAGACTGATTAATTGCGCCGCATTCGCGAGGTCGCGTGTGTCCGGTGGATCGGGGCTGGCAGGGGACATGCATGGCCGCAAAATCGCCTTGGTTCGGGGTTGAGGGAAGGCCATATGTATCGGGGATGCCCTTGCTATGTTGCTTTTCCTTACTCAAGCGGTGCATCGTCATCGCTGACGCCGCGAAGCTGAAACAAAACCTCGACACTGATCACGCATCACGCACGAACGCGCATTTATTTGTGCACATACATCTGCATGATCCTACCATCCTACCCATGGTTGCATGCTGATCAACTACACACCGCTGATGCTGCTGTAGCATGCGGCACTTTTTCTACGTTGGTGATGGCCCTGACGTTTTGTTGTACTCGCGTCGCGCTTACATGGGCGCCAATTCTTTGGCATTGACAGGAGAAACGAGTCGGACGACGACTATCTCTCTCGCGTGACGCACCTTCGCCTCCAAAACAAGGGCATCTCCAGCCTCGACAACCCGGATGTCTTTGACGCGTGTCATTCTCTCAAGGTATTGCCGCCAAAGCTTATGAGGGTGCCAAGAGGGGATTCCCGCGCTTGTCGCCTGGGTCACGAAAATAACAGATGGATCCACTGCATGTATATATATATGTGCAGCAACACTGCATATATATTTTTTTTTTGTAGGTTCATCTTTGCAACAAATATTTGAGTCAGCCTAGCTATGTTGTTGTTGTTGTCTTGACATTAAAAGTCGTTCCGGTCTCCGCTCAGTACCTTCTAATGTCCGTACTGGTCCAACTGGCGCGGACGCCTTCCGTGGTCACAAGCCTATGTGCGACGTGTATATTCTACATACATAGACGTCGTGTATATTCTAATGTATATATTTTTTCACGGCAGGTCCTGTACCTGTACGACAACTGCGTGGAATCTCTCAAGGGCTTGGAAAAGCTTCAGCGAATCGAGCAACTCTTCGCGGACAACAACGTGCTCACCACTATTCAGGGCACCCTGTCGTGCAGACGACTACAAAAATTGTGAGCGTTTTCATGTACACCAGTAGCTCAAAGATTATGATTCGAACGCCTCGCCCGCCTGAAGTTCGGTTGCAGCACCGCACGAAGGAAACAGCCGCACGAAGGAAATGATTCTGCCTGCCTCGAGTCAGAACCAGACGTCGGAAGCTTTCTCGCCGCAACTCGATTTCTCCAGATAAAACATGATGGGTCTAGCACGTACAACCCCCCCCCCGCCACAACTGTTAATTCCCCAGAGGAACTGCAAGACGATAAAAAAAAAAAGTCCTCGAAAATGTACTCAATGTGTGGCCTTGAACCGGATCCTGCCAGGCACTTGAGCGGGAACTCTATCTCGAATCTGTGCGGACTGGAGACCGCTAATTGCTTGGAAGAGCTGCACGTGGCAAGACAGCGACTCCAGAGAGGGCAGTGCTTCACCATCGACCAAGCATCCATAGACGGGATCAAGGTGATCTATCTACCCTGTCTCTTTCTATGTCGTTTGTGTGCTTGGTGTGGAGGGTGTAGCACACCGTACACAATGTAGAACAGAGTGTTGAGAAGCACGATGACCACTACACCACAACACCACAAGTCAGCGCTGACTTGTCGTGTAGTGGTCATCGTGCTTCTCAACAAAAGTTCACGGGCATTAACCTTTGTTGAGAAGCACGATGACCACTAGACCAGTACACTGTAGTCAGCGCTTACTAGTGGTCTAGTGGTAATCGTGCTTCTCAGCACAAAGCTGTCGCCTTACGCGTCGAGGACAGACTATACCTTAGACTACATAGGCGCCACGACAAGAAGAGCACCTTAAAGGCCAGCAGCGCAGGGAGAACCGTGGAGAAAAAATACTCCAGTGTTTGCAGAGTTTGTCTACATACCTCCGTTTCGAACCCGTGTGGGACGTCAAACATCCCGAAAGCCGAGATGGAAGGAAGCAAGACAAGCTTTCGCGACTGAACGAGCATTGACGGTTGAATGATTCCATCGCCGGCGCTCAATCGGTTCAGCAAATACACGGATTAAAGATTCAGGACTACTGAAGACCATAATACCAACCATCAATGAATGGGCGTCATCTTTGTAGTCAAAGGACGGTTCCTATCTACTACTTACCTCCGTACTGACCCTGATGTATTCCCTGCCTCTGACCAAACGCTCGTGGTCCTTGGTTCTAGGACTCGTTAGTTTTGCTAGATGCTTCGGGCAACGGCATGGGTGGTACAGAAATCGAAGGCATCCTTCATCTCTACCGGCTCGAGACGCTCAATTTGGCGGAGAACGATATCCAGGAAATGGCACAGGCACGTCCCAGCGCAAAAGGACGGAATACAAATGATCCGTTGTACTACTGTAGGCATAACAGTTTAGGGAAGTATATTTTTTCGCTTTTAATGGAAGTCCGCTCTGTCGTTTCGGGTCTTGTGAGGATTCAAACCGCGGGCCATCCATGCACGATGTTCCTGCCCATTCATTGAGCCACTACTGTGGCTGCCGGGAATGTGCGATCGACCATTCCAACGGCATGTGGATCATCCTCTTAACACGTACTTCCAAGTACCTTGCCAGGACACCTCCGGCAGGAATTGTCGTGTGTATCCAATGGTGCGATAGATGAACTCAGGCGTTCGTACTCGAACTTCACATTCGTACCATAAAGTTGTGACATTCCCACGTGGCGCACAGTAGGTGGTTGATCTGGTGAGCAGCCTGGAGGCGCTGAGGGACCTAGACCTCAGAGGCAACATCGTCAGTCGCATGGCCAAGTACTTCGAGAGAGCCGTCACGAGGTGAAGATTGACGGACGGAGCATTTCTCATGCACGGCTGCTTTGTCGCCAAGTCAAGTACAACCTGTACTGTTGTTCCTCTGCCAGGCGTACTCCTCCTGCGAGTGGAACACCCGCTGCCTGAGGCAACAGTCTTCAAGAAGCACATACATAGTCTAGTCCATGGCCGACCATTTATTGTTGGTAGGAACCGCTCGCACGTATGTTGTCCTCCACGATGACAACACACTCCACCAGCCACGCTTGTAATCCAATTTCGGGGCACACAAGCGCGGGGATACGCGAACAATACTGTCTGATCAATCGATGCGCTGACCCTTGCAACCGGGATCTCTGCCAACGCATGCACGCCCATCAAGGTGTGGAGACCTCTTGGCGACCCTAGACGGCAAACCGGTGCATGCGCAACACCGCTCGATGCTGCAACGGCTAGACCGCCACAAGCGTTCGGAGGCTAGGAAGTCCGCCGCTAAAACCCTCGCCCGCTCCAACACCCACGCGCCCATTGCAGAACCCGGGTGGGTGAAGTGTATAGTACAAGAAGTGTGGTAACTCTAGGCGCAACGCACTACTATTCGTTCTCCGACTATTGGTGCCGGTAGATGTACACACCTACACTAGTCTACAAGTCCATGGCGGACATGACAGGCTCGTGCGACACGTTGCATTCACATCAAGGACACATTCATTCGTTCACACCCTTCGCCTGTAAAGCATGATAGTTAGTGCATTGGGTATACCTCACGCTCATGGTTCTCATCGTGTAGCACACGATATGCGTCTCTTTCCTGCTAACAGGGCCCAACGCGAAGACTCAGCGAGGCTCCACGACGGGGACTTCTCCAAGGGCCACAGCCACAGCGAGCATCAAGACCCGGCAAAAAAATCTTCGATGCTGGACCTAAACCCTTCCTTGCGCACAACGCGCGCGGGGGTGCGCTTTGCCAGCAGCGTAGGCACTTCCAGTAGTACCAGTCAAGATGATCGCGACAAGCCGTTAATTTCTTGGGCGAGCTCGCGGTAAACGGCCCTCAAAAGCTTGTCCATGGGAGGATTTTCCGATGCTTGCTTCTTGAGCTTCGCGCTGGGTCGGTTTCGAGAGCACTTTACGATCAGAACCGGCCGCTCAGTGCTTGGGCGACTTCGGCGTACAGTATTGTAGTGTCTCTTGGAAGTAAGAGTGCGGCCATCAAAGGCTTGGGAATGGGGGGGGGAACAGAAGCGATGTTTGTGGATTTCGCGTCGGTTATATGCCTAGAGAGACGTTATCGTTTGTTTCATTGCTTCTCAGTTGTCACCTTATCTTACAGGGACTAGCCTACAGTCCACCACCACCGCGTGGGGGAAGAAGTCAGAAAAAAATGGCTTCCAAGCATGACTGCGAGAGTGCATTCTCCGTAGTCACCTACATAGGTTCACGTATGTAGCTGGTTGGCGGCGCTATTCTTGTTTTTGACTGTCCTGTCAGCCTCGACAAAGAAAAGATCCTCGGTAGACCAAAGCCCGTAGAATTCTTCAGCATAGCTCGTGGGGGGATGGAGGACGAACAAGGTTCTTGAACCTCATGACGTACACGGCGCAACAAATGCTTGTCTCTCCTCGACACTTTTTGTTGTTTTTTTGGAGCTAGCTTAGCTCTCTTTTGCTGGGCTCGGTGGGATGAGGTGGTCTCTCGGCTTGGAGAACACCTCTCTCTGTCATGTACGGACGACAACGTCGGGGTTCGAATCTACGCGCGTCATCAAAACGATGACCGAAACATCAGCCGCACGAAAGCGTGCCAAACCCGTTTCAGGCGAAATAGGCCATCGGAAGCACTTGCGGATAGATAGGTGGCCGCACTTTCCTGGCCTGAGGGCATCACTACCGCGCTCAGCCGTAGCGAGCAAGCTTCACCCACGACTGCAAGTTTTCGTGTCCACGCTGCACATTCGCAAAGCACAAGATAGCACCCTAACTTGGCGGTTGCGTTAACCCCAACAAGCTGCATCATGTCTTCTTTCTCTTGGCCGCAAGGCAGCCAGACAGACATCCTCAAGCGGGGGAGCTTCTACCCCGCACTGCTGTATGTACCCTGTAGTGTACCCTGGCCCGCAGTATCGTCAGAGGGAAGACGCCGCAGAACTACAGTATCACACAATAAAGTATCGTATACCAGGCGTTGGTTGTGTCATACGTGCTCTCAATCTCAATCTCGCAAAGCGTGACCACTTTTCGGCTTTACAGTAGCAATCTCCGCAATCTCCGCTCCACGTCTTCACCAGGCACAACGAACTATAGGCCGACAGACAGAGCAGCGATGGTTGCACGCTGCGACATGATCTCCTACTGCATATAGCTCGCCCCAAACACACCAGCGGGTCTTAACGGTCTACATGTCAAGGAGGTCATCATCATCATCATCAGCGCCATCCGCTTCTTCTGCAGTAGGATTTTTTCCGGAACTTTCTGGCGGTGCCTGCTCGGGAGGGCCGGATGCTGGCGCTGTTGGTGCTGGTGCCGCCGCCGCCTTGGTCGCCTGCCCGTACGTACGTGAGAGAAAGCCGACGAAAGAATTCGGTAGCGTTTTGTTAGACACCAGGGAGGGAGGGCACTCGATATCATGCTCCTGGGCGGTGTTGTTGGACAGAATCATGCGCAGTGTGATTAATTGTATACCTAATGCGGTGATGGCGGCTGGACATGGACACAAGCAAGACCCAAAGACCACGTGCACGACGCGTCGCGCATGAGCAAACACAGACTGACTCTCCTCGTGTTGATAAATCACGTCGGTGTGCTAGCTCTGGTAGCATCTTAGCCTTCTATATCCTACCCTACATCGACGCCAAAGACCAGTGTGACCGTCCATACATGTAGCGGGCAAGCGGAGAGCTGAGAGGTCGTGCTTATGACGTACGGCCGAAGGACATGCTAGCTACCATCAAACAGCTGAAAGTGTCAGTGCAAACGTACAGCAGGATTGTACGAAATAGTAGTCTCGGGTAATGAGTGGCCCATACCGTAACACGCCTTTGGTTGCTATGCTATGCTACACCGTCGTGTGTTCCGCAGATAGATGGCCTTGGTCCACAAGAAAGTGCCGAAGACAGCAGAGGGGTGCGGCAAAGACAACACGACACACGAACTGGCGCAGAGGGTCAACCACTAATCCATTGCCGGCAGCACGTTCTTCTTCTGTATGCGACACTTGTGGTTTTCAGACAGCAGCTAATAGCTGGTTTCTAACAAAGCGTGTAAGCTTGTTCGCCTCTCCACGATCAGTACCGTACCGTGTGCAACACGAGAAAAACACACCGCCCGGGGATGATAACATGTTGGCTTCGAAACAAATGCTATCGGATGTGTTGCTGTGCGGAGATGTGGTATGTATGTGATCTCGCCCTACAACTTGATCTGAAGAGTATTTTTATACATTGTGGGCTCATGTCGACCCGGCAAAATGCTACCCCCGGTTGTGGGGCACAGCAGTATGGATGGGGTGAGTGCTATCTATTGTGGGGCGTGTTGCCTTGTGTCGTACAATTTGCGGCAGTCTTCAAGAAGAGCACCGGGCGGCACCCCCCCCCCCCCCTCACCTCCGCCGTTGAAACTGTCGACGGTGCCCCCGCTGTCGCAGAAGCAACGACTTCCCCCTCGCTGCTCCCATCGTCAGCATCCTCACTACCCCCCCCCTCCCCATCTGCCTTTCCCGGTCCAGCCACGTTCGCCGCCATCTTTTCAAGGCGCTGGAAAACACGAAACAAACACGGGGGAGTATATATTACACAAGACAATAAAGGGAGGTATGGGGTATTGTATGCATGCGAAGAATACAGAGCGTTGCGTGTAAGAAAAACCAGGTATGCCGGAAATCACTCGAGAGGATTCGTGGCTCAGCTGTGCGCAAAGGGAGAATCGCCGCTGCCTGGAGAAAATAGCACAATCATAAAAGCACCTTGATACTTGAGCCACACAAAAAATACAGCCTGCCCAGCACGCGCACAACAAGTCGCACCTACCTCTCATCAACCTCAACCAAGATAAAAACAACAACAGCAGCAGCAGCAGCAGCAGCAGCAGCAGCAACAACAGCGACTGCAACCGAATCAAGATGGGAACGACAAATCACAACAGCAACAGCGACAACAATATTGCATGCGGCATACGTACTGCACCTTCTGGTTGTGTGGGTCGTTCTTATCGTTGGCATCGAAGAAGGACGATCGTGGCGCGTCACACTCGGGGCACTTGAAATCTTCCACTTCGTCGAAGAACACCTCGTGCCGACCTAAAACCACAATAGGCAGCAACACCCAACAGACATAAATAGACACGTTGGGTACAAGAAACACTACACAACAATAGGCACATTAGACTACGACTGCGATAGAAATAGACCCATGACACATTACAAGAAACAGATTATAGACAACAGAAATTAGACACACACTAGAAAAAGACACCGGAAACATTAAACAATACCAGCAGACACAATAGTCCAGAAACATTAGAGACACACTAGACACAGGTGCGCACACAGAGAGCGTGCGTATCCGACACCAAACGAGTTACACAAGCGTCGAACAGACATCAAGCCCGCTCTACGCCCGCCAACACATCGCCCAATGGTCAACATCTAGCACCGGGCAACAAGCTAGCGGTAGTCCGGGTGCACGATGTAAGGTCGGCAAATTCCTGCGGCACTGGTTGTACCCCCCCTTTGGTGGGGCAGTTAGCTTGTGACCACGGAAGGTGTCTGCGTCAGTTGGACTGTTATACATAGTACAGACATCGGAAGGTACTGAGCGGAGACCAGAACGGTTGTTAATATGATGAAGACAACAACAACAACAACAACAACAACAACAACAACTAGGCGGCCGAATATTGGGCCCCCTACTGCAGACATATACAAAGACAGATACTCAAGTAGATAGCTGGATAGAAAGATACACAGATAGACAGATAGCAGCTAGATAGCTAGATAGATAGATCGATAGATAGATAGATAGATAAACGTTAGACAGATAGATAGATAGATAGATAGACAGATAGATAGATAGATAAACGTTAGACAGATAGATAGATACCTCGGGCGGGGAAGAGGGTATACCCGCACTCCTCGCAGCAGTAAGCCTTCAGCTCCAACAGGTGCTCCGGCTCCGTCACGATGTGGTCCCACTTCAACTCCGACATCGACGTCTTCTTGAGGCTGCCTCCCTGTCGTCGACACGTCCACATTTCAGCAAGGTATGAGAAACTGTGGGTATATCTCGAATGGGTGTTAGTCTTTTCTGTGTGAGTGTATTAATTTTTCCTTAATAAGGTATGCGCGACATGTCGACATTGCGGCAAGATACAAGACAACATAGGTAAATAGCAGTGACATGTCGACATTTCAGTAAGATATAAGACAGCATAAGGTAAGGAACATTATAATCTATAGTAGGGGAGCAACGGTGCCAGCTGAGGGTTGGGCGTACATTTGTAGCCGACCGTCTGACGGACCAACACTACATTGTGAGTTTTGATGAGTTCGTGACATTTGAGATGCGTCGACAAACGGTCCATTTGCGAAACAGGTCCGATGAAAGGCTTCTGACTGGCCCTATTAATAGACTGGTTTTTGAGTAGAAACAGACGACATCAACCCCGGACCGTCGTCGAAAAATCGCAAAAAAAACAAGCAAACAAAAAAAGCAAACAAAACAGACAAATTGAGCTGATTTTTTCTTTTCTTACCCTCATGACTTGAATTGGTCTCAATTTTCTCGTATCGTAACTTAGAAGTATTTCTCTCTTGTTGGAATGAATGTCCGAACCAAAGAACCGTGAGGGTCTCGGAAAGAGAGATAGACATAACCCGCACCCCGAAAACCGGCTCTCCTGCTGTAGGTACATCAGTCGTTCATCGCTTTTCAGGACAAAACACATTGACGAGACTCCTCGCTTCAAAGACATTATGTCAAGAACATCACGAGTTTCCTTATATACTGCTGTATCGAGCAACAAAACCTACGATAGAATAATTCCCAGGTTTGGAGTATACACGACCGCTGCACTCAACTAAAATACGATGAAAATCACGGCAAACTATTGCCATCAAGGGCAGCAATTGAGCCAAGCCACGCTATAAGCGCACGACACGCAGCGCTAGAGAAAGCAGCAGGCTTATGCTTACCTTGCGGACGAGGTTCCTCACGAAGTGCTGCACGAAGATGAACCCGAAGACCTGCCATGTCCAGAACCCGTAGGTCTTCTTGATGACCAGGCCATCCATCTGAGTTCAGCAGAGCGTGATCGTGATGAGGATGATGATGGTTGCAGGGCAGGAAAGGTGCCAACGGACAGAAAACCATCGGACAATACCAACTACTGCTGTTAACAACGGACAGCAGATCAGCACAATTTCTGTCGAGCTATTGATGTCCATAAAGGCCACCTGCTGGTCCTGCCAAATTCGGGGTCACTGCTGCTGTATGCTAGCTAATAGACGCAATTCGGTGTGCGCCACATAGGAAATATAAACTGATACTGTTTGATACATGCACACTCTTCTCCGCGTTGTATTTTCCTGCTTCTCTTTCCATCAAGCCATCCCACCACTACCCACTAGCCTTAACCTAACCCTAGTAACAATATACTATTAATAGTAGGCGTTACCGGTTTCGGTTGCACCCCCCCCCTAACATACCAACATTGATATCCTAGCGTAGGTAGTCCAGCCATCCTGGGTGTGGTTGCAACCCCCCCGTTAAGATACTACCATTGATATCCTAGCGTAGGCGGTGTCAGCCATCCTGGGTGCTTATTTTAGCCAACTAGACTACATGTAACTCACCGGCATGTATAGCTTGGTGTACTGATCCTGGATCGTCCCGGTTTGCGGGTCCATCATGGACTCCTCCACCAGGCGTTGGGAGGCGTCGAAACTCTCCGCCAGGTTCATGAACTCCTCTCCCGACTCCTCCCCGATGGTGTCACCCTCTGCCCCCGCTTGTTCCTCGGCAACATCGACGACTTCGTCTTGCTGTACCACCACTGCCGCTGCGGTCTGGGGTTGGTTAATGGGGCCATTGTTAGGGTTTTTTAGAAAGTAAACATAACCTCGTTCGGGTTTTATTACAAGGGATATTACTTTTAGGGTTAATGGGTTTCAGACCGAATGAATAGGTTTGTTGTTTGGGTTTCGTTAGGCTGACCAGGGTTATGGTTATTTGGGATACAGGGTTACTCCTTGGTAACGTCAACGCTTACCCCCGACATGGCGTGCAACCACTGCCGCTGGCGTCTGGGTTGGGGCTCTCGAGTCACCCAGTCAGGGCTATTAATAGGACTAGAATCAGGGCCAGGGTTGGAGTCAAAAGGGCTATTTAACCAACGCGAGGGAAGGTCAGCGAACGAGGCGCTATACGATACGACATCCTCAACTTGCCATCAAGCATTTTACCAAGCTAGGACTCACCACAACCACCACCACCACCACCAACAGCACAAACACAAACACAAAGATCTAGTAGTTACCTTCTTCTCCTTGGTCACCCCGGCCGGTGCCTCAGGCCCACCGTACAAGAAGGGGGTATTGTATTTAGTTACCACTGGCACCCAGAATAGATAAGGGATCAACATGCACATTTTTTCTTCGTTTGCAATAATATGAAATCGCTATTTCTGTCTACATATAATCCGTAGAAGACCCCCCTCCGATGGAGCCCCCTCAGGGGGTCCCAGTTCATGGCAGATAGAAGGGTTTTGTGTTTTCAACCGCACTAAGACTGACGTCTTTTCTTGGTCAGCCGGTTAGCGCGGTCGATGCTAACAAAAAAGACATGCACACACGCCCACGCACGCAAGCACCGATACAGCAGTCAGTACTTGCAGAGGCTGGCCGGTCGTCAGTGAGGACTTGATCAAAAATCACACAACCGCACGTCATGGGTGACCCCTTTGTGATCATTATTATCCATCAGAGACCGCGGCAGCGTGGCCTGGTCGGTCTAGTCGTCACCATCACCGGCAAGAGGAAAGGAGAGAAGCAGGAGAGAAAAACATCCAACTCCAACCGGTCTGTCTCCGCAAGATCAATGTTATTCCGTAGCCTATATACAGTGGCGGCTACGGTTTCAGAGAGACTATTTAAGAGAAATTATCGATTCAAGAGAGTCTAACTGCCTTGTCACGACCATGAGAAATACTTACATGTCACAGTACGGTTTAAGAGAAAACCGTATTTAAGAGAGAAATACTTGCTTGTCACGACCCTCTCTTGAACCGTAGCCGCCACTGTATGTCGAGGGTGCTGCCCAAGTTTCTTTCATGCGTGTGTTCGGGATACCATTGTACAAGTACGGATTGGCTGTCGCGTAGCCTACCACTCGCTTTTGCGGCATCAACGCACAGCACGGGGGGTAAAATCCCGACATTGTACAAGGTCACCTCGACACACTCGACTGCTGTCTCGGCACACACCTGCAGGCCTATCTGGCGCAAGTCCGGCCGTCGTCTGGAGCGCTGCTGCACCCGTCGCGTCTCTCCCCCCACTCCCTCAATCTCTACGTCGCCCCCGCCAGGCCTCCTCACACGCATACAAGTAGACAGACGGTTCTTGGTGTTACCGCTCGGCGAAACGGCATACCCGCCGGTTCTCCTTAGCCTGCTGTAGCTTCGAGCCGGCCCATCGCCTACTGGGACTGCTTGTTTGATCGCGGGGGGGTGGAGGCGAGTAATGCAGACGAGAGTCAGTCTTCTGTGTGAGTGCGGGTTTGTGAAGGCCAGATCGTTCGACAGGTCTGTAGACTACCAGGGAGACACCATCTGCTGTATGTAGATATAGGGACACAAAAAACAAACACCGAAAATGTGGAACGGCATGGCATGTCATCGAGACTTGATTTGAAGTCTACATGTAAATGCTTCATGTCATTCCCGTTGCCACGAGTAGGAGAGTGACTGATATTTTTTTCCGGTGTGCTCGTGAAAAATGCAGCAGGCGTCGTATCATATCATATCATATCATACACAAAAGGGTAACGGCGAGCATTCTAATTCGTGGGTGATCGGTAGGGTTCCAACTCGTAACACTCTTGCCTTGTTACAAGTTACATCTAAAGGTTGTCATTGGACGCACTGCTGTGTCCGTATGTATTATAGCATGCAGCTTTCATGCACACAAAGACGCTGTCGCTTGCTGCAAGTGCGAAAACACCATCAGTCAAGAAGGTACATACGTGAGCGACTGCAATTGGGAACTAAGGGTACAACAGCAGGCTGCCGTCAACCTCTCTTCGGTCGAACCGTCACACATAGGCATCCTCCTAGAGAGGGAGCAACGCCAGACCTACAACAGCGATCACGTTGTTCAACGAATAGAAGACTCAATGCTGATAGATCGGGTTGATCCGAGCCGCTCGTCCTGCTTGACTTGCAAACGACATCGGTCGGCCGAATAAAGAAGCGAAAGCTTGTGTGCTTTGTCTCACCTGGCGAAGAGCTCTGCCCCCTTGCGCACGAAGAGAGTGCTGGTCGATGCTGCTGAGTTGTGACAACGAACGCGTGCGTGTTGGCCCCAAGGGCCAGCGCAAGCACCAGGCCCAGCATGCTCCTTTCCTGACAATCCACTCCAGCAGACAGACTGCTACTACAAGCAGCGATGATACAAAGTGCCCTCTCCTATGCCAGCGCCACCCTTTGTACCAGGGCGGTATGGAACCCAGCGTTCCTTAAGCCTAGGGAAGAACTGCGTTCCTGTTTCTGTTGCAAGCCTGTCTGGTAAGCTATCGCGAAGTCTCTTGCTAGTTGTTGTGTTTGCCACGCGGCGCCTTGGCGTGGGGGCTCCGAAAATTCTGATGGGTATGCGGGGGTCATTTACAAACGCCGTCTGCGGCTCCCCTGGCGACTGCTGCTAAGCTGCGTCTGCTACACTATAGGCTGCATCTCCTGCCTGAGGATCACTGAGGAGGCGAGGGAAGTGTTTGCTCTAGGTCTGAGCACGCGCCGGGACCGTCGTGTTCTTCATAGAAAGGCCGTGCTACAGCAATTCAACCATCCACAGGTGCGTATTGCCCCATCAATCAAAGCGGCAACCGATAACTAGCCCACTAAATAATGGTAGACTATTAGACCGGCCTCCTCATCCCATATGGCCGTATCCCGGAACAGCAGTAGTGAACTCCTGTGGCAGAGGTCCTAGTTTGACGGCTCCCTGTCCAGCGAGATTCCCTGCATAGCGGTTACATAGTCTCGAGGCACCGCCGCACCCCTTGTTAGGGCCGCTACATGTACACCAGTCGTACACCTAACAAACAGGTGCTATCCGAGCTCTTTTCAGCAAGGACAATTTTGGTAGCGATTCAAATTTCGCATAGGTGCCACAAACTTTGCAGCTATAATAATCAAATGCGTAGCTAGAGCTGGTTGATGGAGAGAGGCAAGCTGCAGCGCACAACATATCTTCGCCTTGGACGAAAGGATTGTTCCTCATACCGCACGCAAACTTTGCAGCTAATCAAATGCGTAGGGCTGATTTTGATGGAAGAGAGGCAAAAGCTGCAGCGCACGACATATCTTCGCCTTGGACGAAAGGATTGTTCCTCATACCGCACGCGGCTATCGGAAAATACAGAACCGCTCGAAGGCGGTGTTGTCTACTTGTGGCAGTCTTAAGTCTCGCCTCTCTCGTTGGGTCTGCTGTACCGTGTAGTACTGCTGTAGACCTTGACCTAGAGCAGCTTGTGAGAGCTTGAAGCTACTCTGGAGGATGTACTTGTACTGTAGGCATCCCCGGGTTTCCCGCTCTCTCTCTTATGTACAATCGCTCCTCTGCGTGGTCTCCAGCTCCAAAGCTTTACTCTACTCTGTTGCTTGTTTTTAGAAAGTAAACATGACCTCACAGAAAGACTGCCCGTTCGAGATTGTATAACCTCAGCCGTTTCGTAAAATTTAAATTTAGAGCGTGTAAATAACAGATTTTCTTCGGTACGGCAAGTTGCCGCTGTGTTTTCAACCCGAAATGACTATTGGTTGGTTCACACCCCGCAACTAAACAACTGAGTTCACCCGCCTGCCGCGTGACTTGTCAGGCGGTGAAAGATGGACAGCAGTCGCGAGGATGAAGAAGATGATGTGCCTGTGGTTCCACCGAGATCCTCCGGCCGTACTACAGTAAGGGCGGACGGTTCCGCGGCGGTCCCGTTTCCGTCGCCGCTCGCGCCCGCAGAAAGCCAGCCAAAATCACGACCCAACGTCAGGCCGACGCGAAGCAACAAGCGTTCGGCGAGCGACGCGGGCCACGGCCACGGGGACGCTATCCTCGCCGAGTCCCCCGCAGGATCGTCGGTCGACCATGCCGAGGAGATCGATCACGCAACCGCTGCCGGCGCAAACGCCGAGCAACCACCGTCGCCTCCGCCGTCGCCGAAAAGACGACGCAGATCAGCTAGACGGGGGGGGCAACACGGTCACCTGCTGGTCCAGGAGAGGGCTGGCCAGGGAAGCTGCGAGCGGGAAGAAGTGGTGTTGGAGGAGGAGGAGGAGGAGGAGGAGGAGGAGGGAGCCCCGGCGGTGGCGGCTATCCCGAGGAATAGGCGGGGGAAGCGGAAAGGAGGGCGAGCGCGGGGCGCGCAGGATGCGGGTGAGGCTTGCGTCGTACTCGTATTCGTTCTCCGCTCGCTTTTGTTTTGACGACGGGAAAAGAGAGTTGTAGAAGGATTTGAAGGATTGATTGGGCTCCAGTGAGAGGCGTTGAATCGAGACGTTTAGGGGGCCATGCAGTATACTTCATAATAGTGCAGATGCGGGAGCCATGCTGACTGTCTGTTGTCAAGGCAGGTCATCACACGGAACTACTAGTTGTTCGCATAGCACGCCGTGTTTACTTTTTCTCTCGGCACTCTCTGGCCTGAATGCAAGGGACGGCGAACATGCATGCCACTCGACTGACGTGGTCCGACTCCCCCCCCCCCGTCCCGTTCGTGCTCTCGCGTGTGTGTTTGGGCAGGCGACTTGAAGTGTGGCGATGTACAACAAGGAGAGGAGTGGAGAGTGGTGACAAGCGTTGGTGCTGTTGGAGGCATCGACTCCGAGGGTGGGGGCGACGCACAGGGGCAGGGATGTGCACCACTGCCTCACATATTGGAAGGACAGGTTGGTTCACAGTTCACAGCGGTTTACAGTACAGTACTGTAGGATGGAAGAAGTCAAGAACAGCATAGTAGTGTAGGGAGGGCATTAGAACCATCGAAGTGTCGGTTGAGTACAAGCATGGTTACAGCAGGTGCTGGTGAGTGTGTTTGGTGACTTTGTGTTGTGTGTCGTGCGTATTCCGGGTCGTGTCCTGCCCTGGTTCTCGAAAGTCGGACGGATGCATCGAAACCGCGGCGGCATCGACCCCAGTGCAAGCGAAAAAATCTTGATGAAGTGATCCAATGGGTGTGTGTTTATCATGATATGATTTCTTGGTTCGATATTTGTTTGTGTTGGAGAAGACATTCCGTACAACGTGGACGCATGGCACTCAGTATTTGGAACAGGGCTGGAACCTTATGTCTGCATCTCTCCGATCGCAACCCGGCTGTACCGACACGCATGACACCTTTTTACGAAACAGTCTACCCCTCCGACGGGGGGAGAAACGAAGACCAAGGGGAAAGGGAAGGGGAAGGGGAAGGGAAGAGCAAAGGCACAAGCGAGCGGAACTCCAGCAGCTGCACCAAAGGCAACGACAAAGCGGAGATGCAGGCGGAGAAGGTCTGCCGACACCAACGCCAACATGTCGGACTCGTACAGCGACAACAGTGACGGAGGGGCCGGTGACAGCCCGTGCAGTACCCCAATCCGTAGGAGGCCCCGCAGCACTCGACACCAGACAAGGGCATCGGCAGAGTGGTATACTCACCCTCTTCCCCCGCCGACCACGCTGGAGGAGCCCCTGGTGATAGACAGCGATGATGACGACGTTCGAGGTCAGTGGCGTGGGTTCGGCACTGCTGTCTTCCCTAAGCTTGCGTGCTTTGCTCACGGCTGAATTGCTGTGCGCTTTCTACGGCCCCAACAGCACAACAGTTGTATGGTAGATTGCTATTTTTCACTCCAGAGAGTTTTTAAACCACAACATGCTGTAGCGGACCACCGAAGGTTAAGAGGATATGAGAACAACCAGGGTGACTGGTGTATGCGGGAGTTATTTTCGTGGAAGTCGTGACAGACAGCAGTGACAGCAGTGCATGCAGCGACAGTATTTAGTGGTACAGTAGCAGCGGGGGAAAACGCTTTCCATGGGGGGGCACGACGGCATGGAAGGCAGGGCGGTGATAGACAACGATACGATAGGCGATAGCGATGGAAGTGAGGTTTAGAGCGATGACTGCTGTTATGTGGAAGGAAGGATGTCGATAAGATGTAAAGAGATTTCTTCAGCACCGTCCGCGTTGGGTATTCATAGCCCCTTTCGCTTTACTTGTAGGAAGGCGCCTGTTCTGTTTCACACGGTGTCGAGCCGGGCTAGTGTCGCTGTGAAGGGCACGTAGGCGACATGTTTACACCTTGAGGTTGATCAGGGTACAAGTAGCCCTTTGGCCTCCGCTTGTTGGGGGCATAATAAGCACAACGGTACTCATCGATTAGTGGGGCCGATGTGTCCATGGAGTAGTCATGCGTCCTGGCCACCTGACAGACGATATTTTGAGGGCTACGTTTGTAATGAACGTCAGGGAAGACACCAGCAGTCCCCCCGCTCGACGACACCAAAGCCATCAATAGTCGTTCATTGCTTCGTTGTTGTTGTTTTCGTTGGAGTGGAGTGATCTAACGTACAGGAGTATGTCGCGTAGAGAATCGGGTTTATACGCACCCTGATCGTCTCATCCTCGGCGTTTTGTGGCCAGGACCACGAAGGCACTACGACGCGCTGGGCATCAACTTCTACCGGCAAGACTCTCGTCACGGCGTGTCATGTAGAATAGCACCGGTGGTGCATAGCATATTTAGTATCCAAAGGACTTTGTCCCCGTCCCTCGCTACTTGCCTGGCCCTACCATTGCACCGCCTCACACTCGCCGTCCTCCTACCCTTCGCAGCCGTTCCAGCCGCCCAAGGGGCCGCCAGTGCCGATAAGCCTTCCCGAGTGGTGACGACGGTCTGTGACGATGACGACGGCGGTGGTGGGGTGCGGCGGGATAGCAGCTTTGTCGACACCGACTTCGGCGACGGGTTGATAGAGCTACGCACCCGCAAGGAGCGGCAAGGGGCCCCGCCGGGCATGCAGAAAGTCCGGTTGTCGTGGGCGGTCGCTTACCTGCGAGAGGAGTGAGTGGACAGCACTATGTATGCACATATCGACGTCGTAGGAACGTACCAGTACTGTAGCAAACAAGTAAGGCATTGTTGTATGATACTTGATGGAAAGTGGTGATGGAGTTTGCTTGGCAAGTTTGCGTTGCCAACAGCATGGACGAATGTTATCAAGTACACCAACGGTCAGATCTCAGATGTAGCGTCGGAGCCTGTACTTGATGCAGGTATCTAGATTTTGCTCGGCTTGTTTGCGCTGCCAACGTCATGGACGAGCATTTTCTAGTACACCAACGATCCCAGACGGAGTTTGAGCTGCACGTGTCGTCGCCGTTATATGCCTTGGAACCGCAGCCGCCTCAAAACTGTTAGTGGTGTGTGGTGCTTTGGGGACATCTTGTGTGTGTGATTTTGCTGCCTCCTGCGTCGCTTGCTGGCTCCCGCTGCTACTTTGTCGACTCGCAACCCTTCCGATGGTACTGCTGTAGCGACGCAACACGACGGTTACTGCTCATTGGATCGATCGCTGCCATGTCATACACGTCTGATGATACGTTTTTGATGACGCCGTCGATGACAGGTGTATTCGCTCTGTACCCCACAAGACTCGCGTGATCTTCCCAAACAAGGATACCACGGTACGTGATGCTCACAGCCTGCCTCCGTTGCATCAGCAGTACTGCGCATCGCGAAGACTTAGGCCAATTTGACGTTATAGATCATAGCATAGCCGGTGCAGTAGTGTTCCGGATATGTCGGGTATTGCCTGGAGATACACATTGATGGGAGGTAAGTGTTGTATCGATGGAAGTCGTGTCTGCGAATTTTCTCCGACCCGTCATGCTGTTTTTTTTCGATCCTCCAGGGAGCGGTGCAGGTGACCCGGTCTGACGTCATCCGCCTTCAAGAGAATGTGTTCCTCAACGACACCATCATTGACTTCTACCTCAGGCAAGCGTCAGATCGTTGATTACCGTAAACGGTGTGGGTTCGCGTATGGTGTTATGCTGGTGTGCCGTCGATCGATCGGTTTTCATAGGTCGATTGCTACACTGAGAGGCTACCAATGCTGACAAACGGTGGTTTTGGGAAGATCTCGTGAAAAGAAAGGGAGAGAGAGAGAGAGACAGAGAGAAAGAGAGGCAGAGAGAGAGCGACAGAGAGAAAGAGAGGCAGAGAGAGAGAGAGAGAGAGGGAGAGCTGTGATGCCTTGCACGTCTCAAGCGGGTGGTTGTCTTCGATATCCTCTCTTTTCGCTGTGGAGCAGGTAACCTCAACCTTGAAAGATCGATTGCACACCTGTGCCTTCGCCCACAGTCGTAAGGTAGCCTTGACGGTTGACCTATGTTTTTAGCCCGGCGTGCGGTTTTCGGCGCGCCACTATAATAGAGTGCGCGACACAACTGTCTTGGATGTTGATCCCTTTTGGTCATGCCATGTGTTTGCCTTAGTCCTTGGTTGATTACCCTAACGGCAACGGTGTTCCTTCCAAAGCGACTGCTGTCTGTTTCTTGTCCTCGATTTGCCGCGCGTTGTTCCAGACGCTCATTATCCCGTGTTATACTGTACCGTTGTACTATACTGTAGTCGGCTCCTGATCACGGACAAAGAAACTTGCGATACACTTAGGTGGAGTCGTACATTGTAATATTTAATTTTTAGCGGCAAGCCACCAAGGACGGGGGCAGGCGTGCTGTTTTTTTCCCTCGCTAAACGGGCACGAGCTTCACCGCCTGTGCTTTCGATGTGGGCTTGCCCTCCCCTTCTTGACGACAAGGTCTGATCTCTTGGAGGCGGTGTGTGTTACGCGTGCTTGTGCGACTCCTCGATGACAGGTATCTTCTCTCTCGGGAAGACAGCTTTGCGGAAGGCTTGGCGCCAAGCTCGGTGAGTGCACACGCTAATCCTAACCCCTATCGTGTTTTTTTTTTTGTGTTTTCGCTGGCTGGGAGGTGTCTTGGTGCAGATGTGGCGCTGGGCAGGTGTTTGCGTTTGCTGCTAGCGGGGCGTCGGTATGTGTTCGACAGCATTGCCTCATTTTGTCGGCGTGGAAGCAGGAATGGTCCATGTAATGGTTGGTGTTTCTGGTGCCGGCGGTAGCGGTACGTGGCCCCACCACACACCAGCAACAAGTCACCGATTGCATTGATTGCCGTCGCTGTGAGGCATACACCGCTGACCTCGAGTAACTTAGTTTTGGATGGATGGGTTGTCTTTTCGTGACTGCTGTGGTGGTGTGAAAGCGTTCAATCGAAAATGACACAATGGCTCCAATTCAGAGACGCAGACAGCCCGCGTTAGACTGCTGACCTTGGTAACTGTCCGTGTCAGTTGGACCAGTACGGACATTAGAAGGTACCTAGAGGAGACCGGAACGGTTTTCAATATCAACACAACACCACCACCACCAACAACGACAACAACAACAACAACGATGTTTCTTAGGTCCACGCCTTCAGCCCGTTGGTGGTGCAGGGTATCACCAACGTCGCTGATGCTGCGGAGCCGGAAGCGTACTGGCGAAAAGTCCAGGTACTACTTCTTGCTTTTTTGTCTTTCGTTTTTTTTTGTTTTTGTCATTCTTTCGTTCGCGACCGAGACCGACGAATGCTACATGTAGCGGTGTTTACGTCCAGCGAATGGAGGTTTGGCGAGCGAGCTTTCGTGACGTGACTCCCTGCAGTAGTAGCGGTATACCGTTGTGGGACGCGCAGTGGTATACTGTGGCGTGTCTGCGTGTCCACTGTACAATGCAACGGTACAGCAGCAAGGGCCATGACTATAGGTGGGGTTTGTGCCCGTGGGGGAAATGAATGCCGGACAATAGGCATAGTGTTGTGTTACGGGAATTTCTGGTCGTGGATGTGGTTGTACATATGCTTAGAGTTCCGACGACTCACGTCGAATTGGTGCCTTTTTTTCCCGTTTATTGTCCGCTCTCGTGATTTGTTAGAAATGGACCAAAGGGCTGGACCTGTTCAGCAAGAAGATCGTCCTCTTCCCCATCAACAGCGCGTGAGTACACTAAAACAGATATAACCCGTCTTCACCGAGCGTGCAGAAAAACTGTACAAAAGTTGTACCATGGTATCATACTCATTAACATTAGTCGTTTCGATCTTCGACCGGTATCCCGAACCGCGTACGGTGTACGGTGCAGTACAGCAGCATGTGATGGGCGCCGTTAGGCCGCGCGTCTTTTTGTTCCCTCAAGTCATTTTAGCTCCTTTTGAGGCCAAGTCGTTCAGTCTGTCGTGTTTGTGTCTTGTGTTGCCACTCTGCGGGAACCGACAGTTCCAACGCATACGTACGTGTCAGGTTTTCCTGTGAAGCCCATGTGGTTGGTTCACCTTTGCGACCGGTCTAGAGATAGGTCGCAGGGCACCCACTAGCAAAAAGAATGTGAGCTTCCACTTACATCCGTGATGAACACCAAGCCTTGTAGTTGGACCAGATACTTCGAAGGCGACCAAAAGGCCTGTGTTTTTGACCAAGTATCCTTTGAGCTATAGCGGAGGACGCCTCGTGGTTGCTGCTCGAAGTACCAACCTCTCTCTGAAGTTCTCCTCAAACTTTGCGACGCCGCAGAAAGAAAGACTTGCGACACCCACACACTCAATTGTTCGCGTTCGCTTATAAGGCCAAACCACAAACCGCATCACGACCAAGCCTTCGAGTTGATCGCGCTAACCGCATCAGGAACAAATATTCGAGTTCATCGAACAAACCGCGTATCTATCATCAACAAACCTTCGAGTTCATCACACAATGTCACCCAAACTGTATCACCAACTAACCTGCGAGTCTCACACGAACCGTACCTATCAACAAACCTTGGTGTTTATCTCACGCACCGTATCTATCGTCAACAAACCTGCGAGTGTTTCACACGAACCGTAACTATCGTCAACAAACCTGCGAGTGTTTCACACGAACCGTAACTATCGTCAACAAACCTGCGAGTGTTTCACACGAACCGTAACCACCTATCACGAACAGGCTGCACTGGAGTCTCCTTGTGCTTATCAACCCGGACCTTTTCGAGAAAAGAGTGACCCAGAAGGAAAAGGAGAAGGAAAAGGAGAAGGACAAGGACGCAGCCGCCGCCGCCGCCCGCAAGAAACCCACGGCCCCCACCGCAGCCGCAGCCGCTGCCGCCGCTTCGGCTGAATCAACGAAATCCGCGAAAAAGAAGGCAGGGAAAAATAGTAGGGCTGACACCGGAGCCAACGCTGTCAGCGAGAGAGGAGATGGCGGCGGCGGCGGCGGCAGCAGCAGCAGCAGCAGCCAGAGCTCGACGGTTTCGCACACCGAAGGAAGACGTTTCCAGGAGGACGACGACGAGGAGATGCCGCAGGCAGCTTCGCCATCCCGCGACGCCGCTAGCCTCGCCACCGCGGCAAGTGCGGGAGAAGAAGCAATACCTTCTTCGCCTCCTCTGTCCGAAAGCGAGTACCTCAGTCAGGCCTCGCCGTTGCCGAGCAGAGGCAAGGCCATGGAGTGGCCCCCATCCACGGAAATACAGCGGCACAGCATACCGCTCTTGGACGACTGTTCTGGTAGCGCCGATGCCGACCCTACCGGTGAGATTTTTTCTTCTGTTTCTTCTTCGACAGCCACCGGCGCGGGGCGAAACTGCCCCCGCCATGCCTGCGGAATTTCTGAGGCAGAGGCCGGCGGCGGTGGCGGCGGCGGTGGTGCCTGCACTACGAGTGGAAGAGGGTGGTCTTCTCACGGGGCGGCGTCGCAGCCCGAGGAAGAGAACGCGGTAGCCGTGGGAGAGAGTGGCAGTGGCGGTGTTACGACGGCGGGTGAATCGGTAGACCGGCGGAACGTGGAGAGCCTTCCCATGGAGATGGAGGTCGAGGAGGAGGACCAGCTCCCCTCGCGTGCTGGCGAGATCGTCGGCGGCGGAAGGACAAGGTTGTCATCACCATCGTCACCGGCATCGCCATCGCCATCGCCATCGGCAACGGTTTCACGAGGACATGCGCCACCGATGCCTGGATCTGCATCTGGGTCACCCGCTGCATCTGGATCTGCCACATCCACTCCCGTACAAGCCCTGAACGTGGAAGCCTCAAACGGACCCCTCCACGATGGACCGGAGTCGGTGCTATCGCCACCTCGTCCACTTCTTCCGGTAGGACGAGGAACGAAGGAGTCCCCTGCAATCGCGGCAGACAGCCGACGGGAGTGGAGGCTGAACCAGCCTTCCCCCAGCTCGCCCATGTACCCGAGCAGCCCGCCTTGTGCCGGGCCCCCCGGAGAACGGTCGGGGGCAGCGGCGGCAGCGGCGGCGGTGGCGGCGGCGGCGGCGGCGGGAGGGTCTCAGCCTAGTCCTGGAAGCGCCGACGCGGGCGAACGGCCCGGCCGAGAAGACGCGCATCGTCGCCGCCGCCGCCGCCGCTCTCCCGACCCGACGGCCGGGGGGTTGGACACCACGATCGCCGGTCGCACCACCGTTCGGCGTCGGAGTGTTGGTGTTGGTGCTCACCGGCAGGAAATGCGGACGGCAACGCAGCCCCAAGGGACCGGCGGGCCAATCGACGTCGATGCTTTGCCGTCGAATGACGAGCCCGGGCCGTCGAGCGGAGAGCCCGAGCCAGCGGTGGACGTGGAGGCGTTGTCGTCGAGCGGACCGGCGGCGGCGGACGATGAAGTGGGAGGAGGAGGAGGAGGAGGAGGAGGAGGAGGAGGAGGAGGAGGAGGAAGAAGTAGAAGCGGAAGATGAAGAGGAGGAGGAGGAGGAAGAAGAGGTGGCGGAGTGCTCGTTGCTGTCGATGTTCAGTGCTTGTCGTGGCAGAGGGACGGCGGCGCGAGGTGCGGCGGCGGTGGCGGCCGGAGCGGAGGTTGTGGACCTAGCGCCGCCGTCGGCAGGAGAGGACGGTAGCAGCAGCAGCAGCAGCAGCAACAGGGGCAGCAGCGGCAGCAGTAGTAGCGGGCGCGAGAAAGGGGCAAGGGAAGATGTGGATAGCGATGGCGGCGGCAGCGGCGGTGGTGAAGGGATGGAGTGGAGAGTGCCCAGAATAGTCGGGCGGAACGTTGATCAGAAAGGCCGTTCGCAGCCAGCGCTCGTGACATCATCATTGCGATTGCGCTCTGTTCCCTGTGGGGCTAGCGCTGCCGCTGCGTCTGCTGCTGCTGCTGCTGCCGCCTCTTCCGCGGCAGATGCACCGGGCGCATCTTCCACGGGAGAAGCAGAGGCACTGCGCAGCGATGCCGCTATTGTTGCGCACGCCGAAGCACAGGAAGTAGAGGCGCTCGACAGCAATGCCGCCGCTGTTGTCGCGGAGACCGAACTCCGGACAAGGGTAAGGTCGACTCGATCGAGGAGGCCACCATCACGATCGACAAACGGCAGCAGTTGTAAGGCAGCGCAGCTGCCTCCGCCTCGCGAGCATTCGCCACCAGACAGCAGTAGTGGCGACGGGAAACGGCCGACCACGTCTGGGGGCGTCGCAGTTGGGCAGGAGGAGCCGGGGGGGGGGGGAGGGGTGGCGGACGCTGGTGCGGTGGGCCTCAGCTCCTCACCACCGGACGGAGATTTGGACGGCGGCGAGCGGGCAGCAGGGGTCGAAGAGGTAGTGGATGATTCACCCATCCCGTGCATGCTGCTGCTGGACTCCACCAAGGGACATCGGTCGCAGGAGGTCTTCAGGATGGTTCGCAAGTGAGTAATTGTGTTGTACCTTTTTGCGTAACCGTTACACCGCAGTCTCTTTATGGTGGTACAAGGCGGTGGATATGAGACCATGGACCGCTTTTTTTGTGCTTGAACGGCGGTTTCGCTGACGAGTTACAATGCAGTATGTGCCTGGGAAGCCACCCCGCTCTGGGGGCTAAGATAGGCCAAATCCCCTCGGGAAAGTCGAAGATGAGACGAGATAGAGACACTAGGCCACTGAACTAACTGCTTGTGTTGAAACACATACTATGCCATACCGGTAGTCTTTGACCGCGTACCCTTGCCCCGGTTATCAGATACGTCGAAGCCGCCTGGAACAACACCCACGGGAAGAGCAGCGGGAGGAAGAGCAAGGTCGACGTCACCGCCAGGCTGCTAGGCGGCTGCAGCCCACCGGTGGGCAAAGACAGTAGTAAACCTTACACCTTACCGCAGTCTGGCAGCAGTTCTGTGCAGTTCTGTGCAGTTCTGTGCAGTGCTGTGCAGTTCTGTGCAGTGCTGTGCGGCCCCCAAGAGTTTCTGAAAGACTCTTCCCACCTGTAGCCCCCCGCTACGTTGATGGGTACCATATACAGCAAGACCTGAAGAAGAACTATTACATAAGAGTGGACATGACTCATCCAGGGCGGGTCCTACGGTACATATCAGGAGAAGGTCGGGTGTCATTTCATGTCGTATCATGCCATGTCATGTCATGTCATGTCACGTCATGTCGGTTGTGATGCCATCAGAGGAGTTACTCCGTGGCAGGAAGTTCTTTCGTTCCCCACCAGAATCTGTACCACACACGTGCTTCCTTGGGGTATACACGGAGTTTCCTTGTTGCGTTAGTGAGCAGCTTGGTTCTTTTCAGGTAGGTGGGTGATGAGTTGAGCGAACAGATTGGACAAGCGCCTATTACGGATCAGGTGTGGTTCGCTAACCGTTAACAGTGTGCCATCGTAGTCCAGTCAGTCGGCGATTGTACATGCAAATGGCGGTACCCTCTTGCCGAAGCATGCCAACATGTTCGCCTGTTTGTAGCATTGCTCACGCGCCAGTCTCACTCTCACCTATTGACCATGGGGGCCCAGGCCCTTTTCTGCCTGCACAGCTCGCCACCCTGCGTAATAAAGTCCTTGCATCGAAGTGTGCCAAGTGCGCTCAACACGGTGCTGAAATATGGCACGGACTTGCATCAATTGACTCACAGCACTTCGTAAGGTAGGCAATGAAATTTGTATGGCCGTTTGACCTGTTGCTGTTTTGATGTTGTTGTCGCTTGTCTCCATGCTGTTTCGATGTTGTTGTTGTCCTCCTTGCCACGGTTCAACATGTTATTTACAGATACCTCAGCAGACGAACGATTGCGACTGCGGCGTGTACGTGATCCACTACGCAAAGCTCATCCTCGAGAAGCCTCCCCTCGCCACTCAAAGGTAGGAGATCTACGACAGAGATCTACGACAGAGATCTACGACTCTTCTTGTTGTTATTGATGGTGTTGTTGGTGCTGCTGTGGTGTTTGTATGAGTAGTAGTAGTAGTAGTAGTAGCAGGTAATGTTGTTGTTGAGTGTCCTCTTGTCGAGGCATCACAATGCATCGCACGGTAGAGGGGGTGATGAATGCATGTGTGCTTTTTTTCCGTGCCACGAAGAGTGTACATGTCCTCAGCGCATGGTGTATGCCCTCCCCCCCTCGGCGTCGAGTCGCTCGTTTAGCGTATGCTTGATTGAAATGTTTTTTCGCATATAGTACACGTCTCAGCCCATGTTGTGCGATTTCCGACAGCTCCGAGCCTCACGAGATGAGAAAATACGGATACCTTGGGCTAGCCTAGACGTTAAAGGCGAAGGTCCTGTGCTCACGTTGTCGCCTGTGACGTGTGCCGTTCTCTGGTCGATTGATTGTCTAGCCCTAAGTCGAACAGCGTTAAGAGCGTTACCAGAGGTCGTCGTTTAGTCCGTCGCTGTCCGAGTCAAACCAAAATGTTTTCTCGGAACACACACACACGAAGCATCGTTCGCGGTCCATTTGTCCCCCGTGCTGCTATCCTTGGCTTGTCGTTTCGAAGGTTCTTGGACAGGAAGGGCAAGGGTGGAATTTTCAGCAAGAAGTGGTTCGACAGCAGCGTTATCAGCGCCACCCGCAAAACCATCAGAGACACGGTGGAGACGATGAGATGGGACTGCTTGGAGAAGGAGAGAGGCGCCGCTGCCGCTGCTACTAGTTAGTTGGTGCCCCTGGTGTAGCCGGGACTAATGCTAATGATAACCGTGCGGTTTAGATCTTCCCCGTAGCATGGCTGGCCCTGCATTATTTTTTCCCGCGTACTGCAGGCGCGAGATTGCGAAAAACGTGGTCGAGATAATCTATTCATTTTGTTCATTCCTGTAATATTTGAGTGTTTCGTTTGCCTTGTTGTGCTTGTTGAGGGCGCGGAATCTGTTTCTCTTGAGTGGTGTTCTGGTCGTTTTGCTGTGGAAGCTGCGGCCAAAGTGCGAGAGGGTCTTGTTTTACGTTTAGGTGCTGTTGTTGGTTGGCTTCATCCGTTCCATATTTCGTAGGAGGCACCGCGCACGACTTTGTTCTACCTTAAGGTAAAAGCGCAGACAGCCCAGGTATCTACTTTGGATTTAGTCTAGGGCGTCGGGTTTGGTCGTGGTTGCCCGAGCCGCGGGCGTTTTTCTTTCGAATTTAATTTAAGCAACGAACTTGCAACGAAGTTGGAGTTTATGCTAGTTTGCCTGTGTGGGACATCCGGGCAGACTATTGTATGCATGATGGTGTGTTGTATGTACGTATGTATGTGGGACTTGTACCGGCGCTACAAAGAATGGCTCTTGAGTCTTTATTTTGTTTGCGGAGTGCGCTACAATAATTTCCTTGTTCTCTCTGATTCGTTTACACGCAGTACGTTTCTCTACTCCAACCATCCGTACCACTCAACCATCTGCAACTTCGTAGGAACAAATGAGGTGGGTAATGTAGTCAATTAGCAGTGGAAACGACTGGGACTCCTCATAATAGGCTCGACCTCATTGATGAGCAGGTTTCATACGTTACCCTATCCGTTAGGCTACAGCAGTAGTAGTGTAGTTGCCCAGACACAATCCGAGTACCTACAATAGGTGACTGATTTTCAAAGTACCATTACTCCACAGCAGTAGAGAGAATGGCGTCGGAACCGTCTTGTCGAGAGATGTCTGAGAACAAATGATCTCTTGATTTGACATCATCTTCGCCCTGGAGCTGCTGTATGTAGTGGAGCTGTGAAAATCGGTCGAATGGGTGTGGTATCTTGTGTCATGTCACGTACGGTAGGGGGTGGTGGTATTTCGACTCACGTCGCCCCCTAATTCCGCCGCTTCACACATTTCCGATTCCAGCTACCCGCCCGGTGTTGCCGTGCTCGCTGTTGCACACTAGCACTCGAGAGAGAGAGAAAAAGAGAGGGTACCCTGACGCCCCTCGGATCTAGGTAGAGTGGGCAGCACTCTAAGGAGGATGGAAAGCTTAAAGGAGCAGATTGCGGGGTGGCCCCAGTTCTCCTATGTCCAGGTACGTATGCATACGCATACGCATAGGCCAGGTGTGTAGACGTGCGACAGCAGTACTACTACTGCTGCAGGTGCTCTCGACGATGGAATGGATGAAATGAGTGTGCGAATTCCATCCTTTGGCTAATGAAGCTACGCAGGGCTTCTGCGAGGCACGGCCTGCTGGTGCCAGGCTTGTATGCTGCATTTGCGCCAGCGTAGCCGGTTGTGGCTGGCCAACTGCCGTTTGCTTCTGTAGCGGGTAGCTCAACTGCCGTGGATAGAAGTTGCAGCCGGACAAACAAAGCAACCTACCTGGGTATGCATAGGTATGCAAATATCCCAGGATATACCACCAACCCTCCCTGCTCTATGAGCGTGAACGGATACATACACGTTCGTAAAACGGGACTCGCAGCTCTGAGTGCGGGTTGTGTGTCGCTGCTCCGAGCGATGGGCGCAACTCGCCCTGCCTCCAACTTCCGTCGCCAACGATGCATCGTGCTGCGGAGAATCTGATCCAAGCTGCATCAGCCTGTTCGTTCCGTTCCGAAGACGACGAACGCATCTCTTAGAGGATGATGTACTCATGTTTTTTTTGTTTTTTTTTCTCCCATCATTGGATTCTGTCGTCTGCCCCTCTGGCCCCTATCCTCCACTTCTACTAGCTAGACGACCCAACCGGGGTCAAATAGGAGGGGGTTATGTATCTTATGATGAATGTACTGCTGTACACTTCTGTTGTACTGCTGTAGGGGGTGACCACGTGGAACGTTCGAGTTGCCGGTTTGCATACGGACAAAACAGGCCGCGGCGGGATCATGCTGTTTGCAGTGCATAACGATGGATAGATGAAAATGAGTACGTACATTGTACATTGGTCGCGTGGAGATAGAGAGAGAGATACCTGCTGGCTGTACTGCATTTCGCAGTTGACAGTGCTTTTTTTTTTCTGGACGCGACACAGTGAATCCATAGCGTCCGCGGAAGCTACCTGTATTTCTACGATTTCCCGAGCTGCATACAGCGATATACCCCTCCCTCCCTGTGGGTAGCAGGCACAACAAAGACAGTTTTTATAATAGCCGTCTTTGTTTTGCAACGGTTGGAAGTTCAATCACTGCTACATAGCATCCTGCTGTAGGCTCCGCTGTACTAGTAGTTTAGGAACACGGGCACTTACTCATCAGAGTAGCCTTCCCTTTGTTAAGAAGCACGTCTTGTTTCCTCACTACTTGTCGTACTATACTTGAGTGCATACCCACGCTGTGTGCTTTCTCTGCTTCGTTGACGTGTTTCTGCATCGTCTCTTTGCTCGTTCCCGCATCATGTTGCTTGGTTGCCTCATCTAATCTTGGTCAATGGATCGATGATCTTTGGCGGGGGGGCTGGGTGCGCCCCATCTCTGATCTTGATCTTGATCTTGATTGGATCGGCGGTCGATCGGCGGGGGGGCTGGATGCTCTGCTGCGTGCAGGCGCTTGCTGGGTGGTTCGTGCTATGGACTGCGCTGGTCAGCATTCCACCGGGGCACACGGAGCAAAAGAATGTCATCATGATGAACATGGTGGGTGTGAGAGAGAGACTAGTCGATACGATATGCATGTTTGTACAGATTGTGAGAAAGCAAATTTGAGAAAAGGGGCTCGCCTACGCGACATCCTTTAGAATCTGGGTAGCAATTTTCAGGCTAGAAAAGAGATAAAGTTGAGCACTTGAGCAGAAGAAAAGTAGTTGCCCCCTGGGGAAACAACCCTGCACTTGTATGCTATGGTTAACACAAACACTCACACACAGGTCATTGACTCCGTGCTTCCTCACAGGGTCTCAAATGGTGGCCTGTAGAAGCATTTTGTGTATCCAACCGCACTGATACTGACGTATTTTAATTGGTCAGCCGATTAGCGTGGTCGATGCTATTTTAGTAAGAAATACACCCACAGCTCGCTTTCACTTGTTCACGTAAAACAGAAAGCCAGATTTGCTTCTTTGTACATAGCGCATACAGTGATGATTCCAGCGCGATGCGTTAACAACGTAGTCTCAGACCGGCACGACATTTAACGGTATCGATCCATCCATGACCTCTAACCCTGCCCAAATCTCACTCGTCGGCCTGCCGCCCACAGGCGCACGGCGCAGTAGCGACGAGCCTGGCGGTGGTGACAATCCTGACGGGGTGCGACAGCACCTTTTCTACGGCGTCAAGCGTGGCCTTCTTCGCAGTCGATGCCCTGGTGATGATCTCCAACGGACGGAGACAGAAACGCCTCGGGGAGAAGCTCGACTCCCCGGCGTGAGTGGGGTTTGAACGCTTATTCAGATGCAATGTCCACTGGTTTGTTCTCTGGCCGTGCGGAACAGTCTTGCCTTCTACGCGGCTGCTGCGTTTTCCACGATGATGGTGGTTGCTTGCTGGGCGTGAGCCGCGCAAAGAGGTTCGGCCAGCGAAAATCTCGTGTTTGGCGGAAGCCTAACGTGTGTGTTCGTGCGTCTACACGGATGCCGCCCTGTTTGTGTCATGGATGTCTCATGTCTTCGAGTTTCCGATATGGAGTCTGTGCATTCGTGCTGCTGGTTATTGCTTCTTGTATTGCGCTGCCGGCATGGCCGTGTTAAAACAATGCCTCATTTGGAATCTTGGCATGGCGTTTGAAACAACGTCTCCACCGGCAGCGCGCTAGTGTCGAGATCAAGCGCTGTGTTTCGCCGCCTTTCCGGATACAGCAGTAGAGGACTCTGTCGATGTGGCCATATATGTGACCGCCTGCCTGCCTGCCTGCCTGCCTGCCTGCCTGCCTGCCTGTCTGTCTGTTTGTCTGTCTGTCCCTCTCCCCTTTTTCTCCACAACCACTCGAACTCTCTTGTGGTGCTGTTCTTCCCACCCAACGGCTACTGCACCAAAAGGCGAGCGATGGACTACGCCCATCATCTGATCGGTGCGGTGTACGGAACCTTTCTTCTTTTCGGGCAACAGGTGGTTTGCCAGCCGTCATGCCCGGCACCGAACCTCTACACCTACGCCCAGACCAACGAGTTCAGGTACAAGTGCATCATGACACGACTACGTGCTGTCTCTGTCTCTCTCTGTCTCTCTCTATCTGTCTCTCTGTCTCTCCCCTGTCTCTCTCTCTCTTCTCTCGCTTTACCTCTTTCTCTCTTTGCTGTGTTCACATCACAAGATATCGTTTTAGGTTTTTTCGGGAGATCCATATCTTGAACTGATTTCTTGTCCTCCAACCTCGCTCTATAATAGTAGACGTATCTACCTATCAGGTGGGCGCATCATGCTTGCTTCGCTCACCAACCGCCATTTGTTAGCTACGAGGTTTGAAGAGCATCGGAGCCCAGCTCTCATACCGGACCGCGTTTGGCACGACGTTGATTCGGCGGGCCTCCTCTGATCCGTCGTGGAATCTTGCCGGCTGCTGCGAATCACGGGCAGTCGCTAGCCTTGGCGGTGACGGTGTATGTATCCCGTGGTGTATACGGAGGCGTTCTGCCACGCGTGAGGAAGATTATGATTACGACGCCTTCGTTCCTCATGTTGCGTACGATACTGCGGCAGATCGCGCTCAAGTTTTGGTGCAGAACGGTGGTCCCCGTATAAAAGGCCGCCCGCATTTGTACACAAGGCCGGTCATCCTGTAAAGGGCCGGCGAAGTGGCGTTGACAACTAAAGATGGAATGTCCAAGTTGTGTCATACTCCTAAATTGATTGTGCCGTGTGCCCGGTAATCCACTCGTTACAATTTGACAGGGACCACTATACTACTGTACCGAGGTAGCAACGCCCGTTGACACGAACCGGCTTCTCTTTGCTTCTCTTTGCTGCTGCTGCCCGTGTTGTCGTGCCAAACCTTATCTTGCCTCTTGTGCTCTTGTACAGCACCCCCTTCTACGGCTTGTATCGCCTCACCAGGCACCCTATCGCTGGCGGTCTCTTCGCGCTAGCCTTTTTTGGAAGGTGAGCGTGAGGCCTAGCGTAGCGTTGCAACACTTGGTTTACATGTATTGTAGTGGAAGGTGAGCGTGAGGCCTAGCGTAGCGTTGCAACACTCGGTTTACATGTATTGTAGCTCGAGGTAAATAGCGACGAAGGTGGTGACGCTGGTACTGCTGTAGCGTGCTCTTCAAGGGGAGAGTCACCTACTGTCAGTTCGTAAAACAGTGTAGTTTTCGTGCCGCTGTCGAGTCGAAATGAATGCTGCCGGGGGACGACCTGGCCCCTTCCAGATACACAGCAAAGGAAATACCTTGCACATGTCTGGATGAGGTGTTGCCATTATGGTTGTTTTCCGCTCCTTGGACACAGCAAAAGACAAATACCAAAACAACTTGGAGATGTCTGCATGAAATGTTGGCGTGGGCGAGCCCGTCTGCTGAGCACCACACTGTCGTCTATCTATGGCCCTGATTCTGTCAAGGAGTCGAAGGTTGCCGTGTAGTTGGCTGCTCTGTCGTTCTTCGTCTCACGACCATGGTTGCATTTTGGTCACGTTGTGTTGTGTTCTGTTTTATACTTAACCCTGTCTTTGGTTTCAGAAAATTCGTTGGAAATTGTCGTCCTCGTTGCTTGTCTTCCGTGCAACTGCTGCATCCGGGGTGTTCGCACGACCTGAACCGTGCACCTGCTTTCCTCGACACCGACCGCGGGACTCTCTCTCTCTCTCTCTCTCTCTCTCTGTCTGTCTGTCTGTATGTATGTCTGTCTGTCTGTCTGTCTGTCTCTCTCTCTCTCTCTCTCTCTCTCTCTCTCTCTCTCTCTCTGTCTGTCTCTGTCTCTGTCTCTGTCTGTCTCTCGGTCTCTCTGTCTGTCTGTATGTCTGTTTCTGTCGCTCTCTTTTTTGCTGTTCGCGCTTCTTGTCTCTTTGCTTGGTGTTGTTTCGTGACCCAGCCGGATCGTGTTCAACTTCATGTACCTCGTACCGTACTCGTGGAGCCATTGCACCTTTAGCGGTTTCATGGCCATCGCCGCACCCTACCAACTCCTACAGGTGACCCAGTCACTCGCGGCATCGCATGCATGTTTTGGTCGTACGACAGCATTTGTTCTCTTCTTGCTATCGTGAAGGCAGCCCACACGATACGATCATGCAGTAGTACCACAGACAGCATACGATATGATCGTACAGAAGACAGCACTACTGTACTCCTACGCCTGATGTCATTGCTGTTACCCCACCGTTGTTTCGACTTCCACTACCTTTGATGTATGTCCTCATAACGTTGCTCTCCCGGCTCCCCTTCCGACCCGTTTGTCCTCTGCGTCATTTTCTTTATTCTTCACCGTGGTATTTTGTGCCGGATTCCACCGGGCGCGCGGAAACACACGGAACGATATCACACGCCACGGGACGGAAAAAATACGCGGGACGGAATCACACGCCACGGGACGACACGAAATGGTGTGGGACGGAATGGCGCGGCAGGTGGTGTGGATGTTCTTGATCATGAAGAAAGTGGCGGCTAGCCTGACCTGCGGTAGAAAGCCGAAAGCAGCCAAGGTCGCTTAGCCCAAAAGTCGAAGTGATAAAATCCTTCGAACTACAGCAGTATGCATATGGGATAACACTGCGTTGACGGATCGAATGTAACCGAACCAAAATCGAGCGAAATTGCATTGTTCTGGCTTGCCGGGCCTTCAGTCTTGACTGCCGTGTATCGACAAGGATGTGTTGTGATTCAAGTAGCAATCTATGATGTGTGTCAGAAAGGGGGGGGGGGCGCGGAGGGCCCGGGGGGGGGGGGGCCCCAAAAATCCAAAACTTTTTAAAACCAACTTTCCCCAAAAAAAAAATGCAAAAGGGGTTTTTTTCAAAAAAAAATGTTTTTTTTCCCTACCCCTTTGGGGGGGGATTTTTTATTATTAATTTTTTATAACCGAAAACAAACCCCTTTTGCGAAAAACTTTTTTTCCGGGCCTTCCCCCCCTTGTTTTTTCTTGGTCTATGGCATCTAAAGACCCCCCCCCCCTTCAAAAAAAACCCCCCCTGTTAAAAAAAAAAATTTCCCTTCTTTTTTAAAGGAAGGGGTCCGGGTAAAAAAAAAATTTCCCCCCCCCCCAACCAAAGGTACCCAAAAAATCCCTTTTTTGTTTGGTTTAAGCCTTTCTTTTCCCTATTTTTTCTTTTAATCAAAAAATCCTTTTTCAATTTACTTGGGGGGGGGGGGGAATTTTTTTTGCCACTCACAAAAAAAAAAAATTT